CCACTGCTTAAGCCTTCGCTGAAGAAGTCGGCTGAGTGCTCATGGCAGACAAGACCACCTCATGATATCTCTATATCAGCTTAATTCATTATCTGCAAGGAATGGAAGTTGAGTTTCGCCAGGTAAAGCTCAAGCAGCTGCAACTCTGCACTCTGACCTGCTGCACCTGCCTGGAAGGTCCTAGTGTACCTCGCATTTTGTGGCCTCCAGAGCTCTTCACGGCTTCTGTTCATCATCTGGAACTTCAACGAGGAGCCCGCAGTGTTCCAGGGCTTTTGGGGGGGGTTTCAACCTGCCCTGATCCCAGACCCGTTCTAGGAACCTCGATCCCCTGAACTCCTCGCCCTGCTAATGTATTATATATATTTTTTTATTGTTATTGTTATTGTTATTGTTATTGTTATTATTATTACTACTAATACTGCAACAAAACACTACAACAACAACTACAACAACAACAACTACTACTGCTGCTACTACTGCTACTACTGCTACTACTGCTACTACTGCTACTACTGCTACTACTGCCACTACTGCTACTACTGCTACTACAACTGCGACTTCCACCACCACAACCACCACCATCAGCAGCGTTACCACCACGACTACCGGTAGCGGTGGAGGTTCCAGTTCGTGTAGAGACTTCTACTACCACTACTTCCACCCAAGAGGACTTCCAGGGCGGCTTCCAGATTGCGGCCAAGCGCATCGGAATGCTGGAAAGCTTCCGAGCAGGCTCCAGGGGTCATGTTGACTTCGAGAAACTTTAGCAAGGTCAAAACAAGCAGTACCTTGACTGTTGTCAACTTCAGCATGTCTCTTATCAGCGGTTTAAGGGTTTAGGGTTTAGGGTTTTGCCAACACGGTCATGTCAAAGGTCGGTGTCGTCATACTCGTCCGAGTGGCTATCCAGATCCTCATTCTCATCATCTCCAATGTTGACAGCCTTCGTCACTGTCGTCACTGCCATCATCATCAGCATACCACGGCATCATCGTCACCGCCTTGGGGTGTTGAAACTGTTCCAATCGTCTTGCCTCCGCAACCTCTCCATCTCTACGCAGGTTCGTGTTCACCTTGATCTTGAGTTGCGTCTCCATCATGAGAGGCACCACCATATTCATAAATCATCGCCATGACCGGTTCGATTTCAGCCGTTTCCGATCTGTGCATGCCCTGTATCTGCACTCTCGAAACGAGTGTTTCGTTTGCTTGGCTTGGTGAGCGATTGCCACCGGCTCTGAAAGCCCCGTAGGCAGGGCTCACATCTACTCCACAGCTAACTTATACTAATACCCTAAACTCTAAACCCTAAACCCTAAACCCTAATCACTCAGATGCCTCAGGCATTTCTTGGCTCTCGGTCGGGGTCTGAGCTCTGCGGCCCTCAAGACTCCTCAGACAAGCACCCTAGTTGGGGCTTTTAGTAGTTCTTATTAAGTAAAGTTACCCTATTTTAGTAGTTCTTATTAAGTGAAGTTACCCTATGTTAGTAGTTCTTTTTGAGTAAAGTTACCTTAGCTATAGCCCTAGTGGAAGAAGACAAAAAAGGGAGCAACCGGGAAGAGAAGCCCAGAAGCTCAAATCGGCAGTCGGTCTCAGGTTACCCTCGCCTACCAGGGCCATGACTGGATCAACAAGCAGGCGCTTTGGGAGCAGAGTTTTCTTCCGGCTTTTTTGTGGCATCTCTCCTTTTCCCCCCTAAGCCCTAAACCAAGCATCTTCAGGCAATGATCGCCATCTCCCTGATCACTCTCCTTTTCCTCTTCAAGGTGCCGCCGAAGACCGGAATGAGCTTCCGACAGCTTTTCGATCAGAGGTCCTAGGATCCCTCCGATCCACCCACCATCCGTTTTGGGATTACCTTATAGGATTCTATATATGAACCCCCAGAAGGAACTACTTTGGGGCCTATGGTCTCTTCAGGCCACCTTTTTGTCGTGTGCGCAAAAGGGCGGCTCGACCATCACAAACCAGATTGCTGGCTGAGGAAGTTGGAGTATTTAGCGGCACAGCAGTGGCCGGTGTTGATCGAAACTTCTATGGGCTGTCAACAATCAGGGGAACTTTAGTAGTAGGAGCAGCAGCAGCAGCAGCCGGGAAAAGGAGAAGGAAGAGGAGGAGGAGCACGAGTAGCACAGTAGCAGTAGCCGTAGTATGAGTGGCATCAGTAGCAGCACGACTTCCAAGGAGAAGCGCAGCAATGTATGAGTGGCTTAGCCAACTAAGCTAAGAGAATCCGTTTCATAAAAATGTGAGCATGGGCCTTTGAATGATAAGCCAGCAGACCGCAGATACACAAAATGAACGTTCATGTATTTACAGACTGGACAGGCATACCAGCATGAGTAGATCAAGAGGTACTCGTACGCAAACCCACGAATGTATGCATACTATTTTAGATGTACTTAAGTGCATGCATGTACGTACGTTGTATGTAGGGTTCAATGTAGGAGCGAGCGAATGAATCAATGACTGCATGTTCGTGGGTGTAATTGCAAATGTCACAATTGACTGAAGGACTTCAGAGGTATGACTGGCCAGATAGAAAGACAGATAGACAGGACATTAACAGTATGAAATTATGGAATGACATGATTTGATGTGAGGTGATGCGATAGGATATTTCTGTCATCTACGTGTAGCTATATGTGTAAAAGGTCCTATCCATTTCATTCACCCTAAAGCCTTAAAAACACCCCTAAGAAAACCCTAGCCCTGAACTCTAAACCCTAGAGCCCTAGAGCCCTAGAGCCATAAACCCTAAATCCAAGTTTGCAAGGCACCTCATTGCTACTCGGCCTACGTCCTTCCCAGTTCCAACTTCTTGGAGGCCGCCTTTTGGTCGGTTTCTACAAGAGGGTCCTAAGAATTCGAATAGGGTTCCTTTAAAGAGATCTTTAGAATAGGGACGGTTTTGGAGAACAAACGGCCGTAGCATAGGGCCTTAATGATTCGAATAGGGGATACTGGAAGGGATCTATAACGGATTTAAGGTATGGGGGCTTTTGAATTAGGGTTACGACAAGGGGTCTATACGGGTACTGTAATATAGGGGCCTTCAGAATTACCTACACTAGTTTGGGGGTTCCTCATGATAATTATAGTATAATGGGCCCCTAGAGTATTTGGCACCGGTAGCCATGGCCGTGGGCGTGGGGGGGGTGGAGTTTCTACGCGGTGGCGGCTCTTTGCAAGAAAATGAGGGTCCGATCAATCAGGTCTGACTCAGTAGTGCCACCAATACTTCTTGCAATAGTGGTGGTGGGTATCATCGGAGTAGCATAGACATTCATCCCCACAATAGAGGACGCGTAGGAGAAGTACCATGAGTCTAAACTTTCGCAGTGAAGACAGTGACTCTTCCGAAGCAAAGACAACTCGGTCGTCTCAACAGACTGCTTGGGAGTTTAGATGGATTTTTGCGGCTTGTGTTGTCCGGATATTTGGTATGGTAGGTGCAGGATTGCAGGCCCTGGGCAGCGGGGCGGAGGTCCTGCGCACCCAGTAGTGATACTTCTTCCACACGGGGGGGGCGGGGGAGGACGTCACTTCGATAGCCTTGAGCCTGCCCGAGGCGCTACCGTCTCAGAAGACTTACTTGCTGCTCGTGATGTCAGAGATGATGACACTTGGCCTGGGATCAATGCTCCGACTCTTGCGATAAGACAGCGGTCTCCGAGTATGTCCTGTTTGTTGACCGGAGTGAAGCTGCTGAGGAATTTCTTGGCCATCTATCCATCCATCAATTTTGAACATTGGTCGGAGTCTTGGGCTTTGCTTCTGTAGCTGCGAGGTACAGCCTTGTCCGTACTGCACATCACTAAACTGCGCACCTGCTGTGCATGAAAGAGTTTATGTCACCTCCACAAGCTGAATGTCATTGTTCGCTGCTCGCCGAATTCGGAGACCCTATCATCAGCTTCACTACACCATGCCCATCATCTCCGCTGCCCTAGGTCACGTCACCGTCGACCCACTTCCATCACCCATGATTCCGATGATCACCTTCCTCCTCGACGTCATCTGTCATCTCATGATCATCGCCGTGGCCATCGCCATCATCATCGAGATCATCGTCATTGACGTTTTCATCATCATAGTCATCATCATCATCATCATCATCAATATCATTAATATCATCATCATCCTTGTCGTCATCATCACCATCATCATCATCCTTGTCGTCATTATCATCCTCATCAGCATCGGCATCATCGTCATCCTCATCGTCACCCTCGTTTTGACGAACCGTCGTCCCTACGTCTGCTTTGGGTGGAGGTTGCACCCCTGCAGGTGGACATTAAACGGCTGGACGCCGGAAGAGATTGCTGGCTTTGCCCTGGCGGTCGCGGTGCTGAGCCCATTGGTGGTGTCAGGGCCTCGCTGAAACGGAGCTGGGCTTCAGAGCACCGGGGTCTGCAGCTTTCAGTCCCAGGTCGCTCGCCTTCTACGCGCTTCAGAGGCCGCAGCTCATGTTTCAGAATCAAACCAGAACGCAGCAGCGATTCTCTTGGGTCGCAGTTTGCTTCGGCAAGTTCAATCGGCAAGTTTCCTCTCTACTGTCTATGTGCGTGTGCTTCTGAGTTTGCCTGTCCATGCGTACCATTTTCTCTCTGTCCCTCTCTCTCTCTCTCTTCTCTCCTTCTCACTCCTTCTCTCTCCTTCTCTCTCCTTCTCTCTCCTTCTCTCTCCTTCTCTCTCCTTCTCTCTCCTTCTCTCTCCTTCTCTCTCCTTCTCTCTCCTTCTCTCCCTCCTCACTCTGTCGCTCTGTCTCAATCTCTCACTCTCTGTGCATGCGCTTGCGTGCATTCGCATGAGGTCGTTTTGGGGGCTTGTCATGTTCGTCGGTGTGCCTGCTTTATCATGATGTCACGTTTTCAGTCCGTTAATCGCTGTAAGATCTGTTTAGCAAGTTTGGTGAGCCATGATCGTTCCTTCGAGCATGTCATGGATTCATCTAAGCTTTCCAGCTCAGCCCAAGCGCTTTTCCTCGCAGGATGGCCGTCTGGGGCCCCTGGGTGACGAGGGCCCGCAGCTCTGACAGTGAGGGGGGCCATGGGTTGGAGGATGACATGTCTGGATGTCTAGGTTGACGGCTTGGCCGGTGGGTCTTGTCTGGGCAGTTCCGTGTCGCATGAGTTTTCCCAGCGGAACGATCTGGAAGCATCGGAGCCCGGGAACCTCGTTGTCGGGCGCAAAGCCATCATAATATTGCCGGGCTTCGTAGAATCCTCGCTGAGTTAAGGACTTCACATGTTGGCTTCCGCCAGGAACGTTGCTGCAAGCTCAGCTATGAGACTTTCGAAGTAGGTGCCGTCAAGTTCTCCAAATCCGGGTCATTGCTGAGCTGAGGATTCGAGCCTTGGCGGTGTTTGACCTTGGCTTCCTGTCACGCACTCAACGTGCGATTTCGCGCTGCTTCATTAGGGCCGGTTACGTGCATGGTACGCTAGGAATCACCGAAACTCCGTCTTCGTGGCAGCCGTCATTGCCGCACTCTCAGCCATGGCCGACGCTTTGAGCTTGTGCCTCCTCTGTTTGAAAGACTCGATTCGGAGTGGCCATGGGCCATGGGGAGGCATCCGTCATCTTGGATGTCGCACGCAATGCGACAGTCTGGTGTTCGATTTTGGGAATCCTTGGCAACAAGTGGCACGAGCCCCAGTGCAGATGCGGCTCAGGTGAGGTACATGAGCAGCTCACCAGACCTGGCAGTCGTAGTAGACTAAAGTAGTACAGTATCATAGCACATGTAGGTTTCGCACATTATGCCACTCTCGCATATAATAGTTTCACTGTGTTTTCTGTGCTCAAGTGGTGCAATCCCGGCGACTCGTAGCCAGCACTGCCCTGCCGAAAGGTATGCGCTGAAGGGCGGCTACCTCTGCATGGTTGCGGGAAGCTTGGAAACAGCACGTATTGTGCCTGCACATATAGTCATATTCATATTGATATCGTATATATATATATATATATATATATGTATGTATATATATATATATATATATATGTATGTATGTATGTATATATATATATATATATGCATGTATTGTATACACACACATATATATATATATATACGACTGCAAAATATGTAGGTTACAGCTACGATGTAAGCATCATTGTAGTATTTCGCAATCTACGACATGGTTATGTTGTGGCCGAATGGTGCAGTTCACCTTTCGCTGGTGCTCATGGATAGTTCATAGCATCAGCACATCGGTGCTTTAGCAACAGAACTCAGTGGCGAGTGATGTTTTTGAGAACACACGAACATGATGGTCCACGAGCAGTAGCGTCACAGTCCCGGCGCTAGCACCGTTGTATGGGAGTTCGGCATCTTAGGTAATATAACATGGTAGAGCATCATAACATAACATAGCATAACATAATGCAGTGTTAGATAGGGTGAGATGAGACCACACACTATAGTATACAGTAACAGTAGCCAACAGTACCTCATAATGCCATGCCCTTTAAGTTTTTTTCGTGCAAGATCGTATGTTATAGCCTGATGAAGTATAGTGAAACAACACGATACAATACACAGCGTAGACAGTAGAGAATAGTAGGATACAAGATAACGTAAGGTATGACAACATCACTATGCTAACATGGGGTAGTAGCTAGTAACATGATACACATTTATATATATATACACACACATATGTTTCCATCCAGGATAAGAGGAGACAAGACGAGATAGTATAATGCATGATTAGCAGGTCATGTTACAATATAGCAGAATTTTGCATAGCCTTCATTAGTGTGATATACAACAGTGCAGTATGCCATGATATCATGCCATCCAGCATTCTAAAAGTGTTACATCATAACGCAGGACAAGTTCTAAGATCTACTACCACATGCTATCATTCAATAGAAGGTAGTGTAGCACAGTATGGTATGATATAGTATGACACAGTTACAGTATACTACCTTACATGAAATACTGCATTGCAATGCGATGTAATGCAGTACCATATAATAGGGTATAGTATAATGCGACATCATGCAACATCATACACTATAGTGTAAAGTTACTAGAATCGAATACAACCTAGTATAGCATGTTGTAGCACGGTATCGCGTAATTGAGTAGACTGTGCAAAAATAGGAATGGATTGGACAAGATAGAACACAGTCTCAGATAATAGAAGGGTAAAGATTGTAATACAGTATAGTATGTTATAACATAGTATAGTATGCTGTAGAGTAATATAGTGTAGTGTAGTATAGCATAGTAGAATAGTGTAACATATGCAATATGAGAGAATGTAGCCTAACATAGTATAATACAATATAGTACAATGTAATACGACATGTTATATAAGCGACGGTAGAATTATGAAGTATCATAAAGTAGAGTATATAATTGCTACAATATGCGACGGTGCAGTATACTATCGCAGATGATAGTACATCGTAGTACACTCTAGCAACACAACATCGGCATAACATGACCTAACATCTTATAACACAACAAGAACATAGCATAACATTGCACAGCACGACGCGGCATACCAGAGTGAACCATTTTATGGGACGGTATAAAATTTCAGTATCATGCAACATCATTTCGTGTCATGCCAGCTCATCTCATGTCTTACTAGTCATATCTTAGCAGATCATGTAATGTAATACGGTATCGCTATAGACAGAATCAGAGCTCATGATGCCACATCTCTCTTCTGTTAGGTGACCTGAAGCCACCTTGCACTCTCAGGTCGTGGCCCTCAGTTCAGCGGCTTCGCCCCTGGTAACCAACGAAATCTCCATGCTGGTCACCGGCGTGCGCGGGTCTCAGCGTGAGGGACTTTTACCTTCATTGTTGTAAGAACAAGGGGACTTTCATCCTGCCCTAGCCTGCTGTGGCTCTTCCGACAAGCATACACAAAGCTTGAGCTTATAGACCCGTAGAGTGATGACCTGAACCGTAAATGCGAAAGTGAGGTCCTTACTTCGCTCATCGCACACATTGCAGAGCACCGCCTCGCGGGGTTCCATGGGCCAGGCGGAATATCGGTTTTCTGCGCAACGATTCTGCGGAAAGCTTCTGATTTTCTCGGCTTCGTATTTTCGCCGACATTGTCGGAAAGCCTTCGGTTTCATCAGCTGTCAAAGCTTTTTGCAAGGATTTTGGATTCGGGGTCTGGCTTCCAGCGCAGTGGCACAAGAAGCGAGCCGCAAATCCACGCCTCGACAAGCGAGCCGCAAATCCACACCTCGTAACGCGAAAATGCTACGCCACCACTACCCCTACCACTACCACTACCACTACCACTACCACTACCCCTACCCCTACCCCTACCCCTGCCCCTGCCCCTGCCCCTACCCCTACCCCTACCCCTACCCCTACCCCTACCCCTACCCCTACCCCTACCCCTACCCCTACCCCTACCCCTACCCCTACCACTACCACTACCACTACCACTACCACTACCACTACCACTACCACTACCACTACCACTACCACTACCACTACCACTACCACTACCACTACCACTACCACTACCACGACGACGACTTCTACTACTACTTTTCCTTCATCTTCTGCTACTACGTTTGCTATTGCGAATAGTATTGCAATACTACGAACACTTGAAGCCCAAACAGGCCGTGGCCTCTGCAGTGCTCCCGCTGGCGGCTGCAGCGTACGCCTTTCAGCTGCTGGCGATGCCTTGGGCCTCAGACTGATCGCGACAGAAGTTTCCCAGTCCTGGATTTTGAGTAAGTGTTTTTGTTACGACCTACGACTGCGCCTGTGACTCTGTGGTTGTCGGGTTTGCGTCCGGGTTTCAGCCTTGCTTTCCACTTCGAGGTCAGTTCTGATTCTTCACGTGTTCGCTGGTGTACGATTGTCATGCAACCTGGTTTGTTACAGATGGTGGTTCCCCCAACACTATGCTCCATCTGTAGTGTCATTCCGGCGATGTCTTCACTGCACGTTCACATTCAGATTCTTTGCCGGTGTTCTTCGGCTTGGGAATCAAGCAAGAGCCTTCGTTGCCTTCGGGCTCTGGCAGATGTGTACGAGGGCCATGTGCTGCGTCGGTCCTCGAGGACTCTGTGTCGTCTGGCGAGGGTGTGATGATTGTGAGACGATGATGATTGGGACATGGGACTGCTACCACTACCTCTGGCTACTGCTGCTACTACTACTACTACTACTACTACTACTACCACGACCACGACTGCTACCAGTGATAAACAACGGTTATGATAATCATAGTCTTAGCAGTAGTCATCGTATCAGCACTCGAGTAGAAATGACACTAATCATAAGCATTATCATGGTCACGAGAGTAGTGGTAGTAGTAGTAGTAGTAGTAGCAGTAGTAGTCGTCATGACATTCACCATAATACACACAGAAATGATAATGATGATATATATATATATATAGTTTAGCAATCATAATGGTCATATTAATAGTAACTATGGGAACAACAGCGCCAACAATCAGAACATGGTCATAATAATAACTTCGACTTCGACTACGACGACGACGTAGCACTAACCTCCTATCGCTACCACAAATCGGTGTTGTCTGTCTGCTGTTGGCAGTTTCCAAGGCGTTACTTCAATGCAGACACGGTGAGCTACAAGGGGTCTCGCTGGCATGGAGTACAGAGTCATGCCAGCGGTGTTGGCCTGGTGATTTGAGCTTTCGGTAGGCTAGCCGTTAGATTGCATCAGACCGCTCAACACCATCGTCCAACTCGCCGTTACATCAGGCCGCAACAACTGTGCAGCGAGGAAACACTCCCGCATGTACGTTGCTCAACGAGAAATTGCCACTGACGAAACGCCAATGCCCTAGCAAGATCCTGTAGAATTCCCCCGCACGGTCTTCGATACTCCACGAATTTTAACAAGTTGACAAAGACGGCCATTGTCAAAGTGACTCGCCTTTGTGGTTGTGGGCCAGCATGGAGCAGCAGAGCCTGGTGGATGAAGACCGCCCGAAAGAGGAACCAAAGGAGGTCGGTTCACAGAGCAGGATCCGGCTCTGCATCAGAAAAATGCCGTCGCGAAGTCACATGGAGGAGAGGCAGATCAAACGCAGCAGAGAGGATGGAACAAGCTTAGGGCAACGGCAGGTACTCGACAATCTTGAAGCTCGGTGGTTCTGTGTAGGTAAACCCTAAACCGAAACCCCTAGACCCTTAACACCAACTTCGCAGAGAGTGGAAGTCACGGAAGACGTTCTTGTTTCCACGGAGGCTTCGACGAGTTGTCCTTTGTTGGAGGGCCCTTTTTGTTCGCATCTGATCGAGCCCAGCCCCTGTAAGCCGGGAAACTGTATGGCTTGCAGTCCAGGCCATAGAAGACAAGGTCTTGACAGCTCTCTTCTGGAAAGCATGCTCATGCAGAGAGAGCTTCCCTTCCCAGTACAGGGGCAGTCGTGCCGGCGCTGAGCATGTGCAATCGAGCCAATTTCCGGTTCTGCCAATCTTCATGACTTGACTCCAGGTCATATGAAGCCACCAAGTAGTCGCAACCTGACACAGCGCCAGGCACGGATCGCGACTGGCAGACGGGAATGAGTTCGGCACGGAGGTGTCTTCCGTGCGGCTTGTCGTGAAAGAGATGAAGAGGCCTGGCTTCTTTGCTTAGCTTTGGTTAGTAGGGAATGGAGGAATGGGGTACAATTATAACTACTGTTACTACCATTCTTCGGTTCCCTACTAACCAAGGGTAAGTTTGGGAGTGCTGCAGCATCAGACAGCGTGGCAGCCCGTTCTCCCTCCAGGAAGCGAAGAGAGAAGGTGAGGCAACTCCTGAACAACAACAGCCAAAGCAACCGGCTCAGAGTCTGCAGGGGCTGCGCCTGTCCTTACCTTTTGCTAGCAGGGAATGGAGGAATGGGGTACAATTATAACTACTATTACTACCATTCCTCCATTCCCTACTAACGAAAGGCAAGTGTCTGGTCATTCTCTGCAAAGTCTCTGCTCCGAGTGGCTAAGATGCTCCTAAGGTTTCGATGTTGGCACGCAGCGCGCGTGGTTTACGAACATCTTGTGGGCACCTGAGCCTCGAAACCGTTTTTGGTCGTTTGGGGGCCACGGCCTTGCGCTTTTGCTGCTGTTCTCTTGCTGATATCTTCAGATGACTAAGTTTTCCAACCTCACCAGTGAGCCCGGGTCAGCCAGTGCCCCAGTGACAGGGAGCGAGCATGATGGAGGCATCAAGAGTAGATATGAGATGCGATGCCATAAATAGGCACTTTCGGCGTCAGTGCGACTCAGCTAGGCAAGCTTCATCGGGAGCGTTTCAGGTCGAATCCGCAGTTCGAGCTCCCGTCCAACTTGAACCCAGCAGCGGCGGACCGCGACCTGCACCACTTATTGCGAATACAGCGTTTCATGGTGGAATATTTTGTGATGTATACAATGTTTCATAGGGAAGTGAAATGCATGTCCCAGCACCTGAGGCTTCCTAGTGTAAATTCCTTACTCGGATAGACCTTGCTGTCAGACTGGTCTAGCCCCCCCCCTTCCCCGAAGAGTTGCCTTGTGCTCACATGTGCGACTTCTGACTAGAGCGAATGCCGAACCGGGTCCGGAAACCAATGATATCCTCGTGCCGAACGGGATTCTTGCAGGCCTCCAAGGGCCAAACTCAACTATTTCAACCGAAAGCGGCCTTGAGAGAAGCGTCTGCGCACCGGCAGGGCAGCGACCGAACAGACAACATGCCTTTCCCTGTGGCCTCCCGGTATTTGCATGGATAGATCGCAGGATGAACGCCCGGCTGCTGTGGTGGAGTACAGCGAGTCCTGGGGAAAAGTGCTGGAAAGCTACATGGAGGGCAAGAGCATCGAGGAACCACGGATGATGTCCTTGCCTGTGACAGCTCACGTACTATGGCTGCCTAAATTATTACCAATACCATTTTTGGGGTTCCTTATGATATTTACGGTATAATGGCCCCCAAAACCCTGTTCTAATTATTCACGCTCCTATAAAAGCTGTACGACGTGGATAGGACTGGCTTTGACTTGCGTCCTGCCACTGCACCGCATTGACACGAGCCATCAGCAACATGGCTTGCCGGGCTAGGAGTACGTCATCGTGGACTGCCACAACCACGTGGTGCCACTTTTCCAGACCTCCGTGAACCCTCCGAAAGAGGATTTCCCACTGAGGGTGATCCACAAGGCTGGAGCACCAGAGTAAACACGGTAGTATACTGCACCATAGTATAGGGCTTCGCTGCTATACTACTGTATCAGAAAATCCGCTTGCTCGGGCTCGGCCTTCCCAACGTCATCCGACGTCGAAAACCTTGGCCAGAGGAAAGCGATAAAGCTCCCTAAGAGCCTGCTATGTACTGCTAATGTAGGGTTTCAAACAATGACCAGTGTTGTTCCTTCGGCTTCCGTATTGGAATTGCGGCGTATTTTACCCCGAAACCCATTCCAATTGTTAAGGCCTCTGTACCATGTTATAGTAAATTGTAGTACATTGTCGCACACGACAGTATGCGAACATATTACGAGTATTACTATTATTCTTATTACTGTTGTTATTCGTGGTATATGACTATCATTCTTATATCATCATCGCTATTGTCATTCTCTATGTCATGATATAATGTATGTTACTCTTATATCACCGTTATCGTCATTCTTTGTTTCATTATGTAAAGCTGAAGGCTAAAGCTCTCGCCAGGGACGCGGCCACGCACCGCGCACGCTTCGCCGGGCCCCGCTTCCTCGTCTTCTAGGCTCCCCCGAGGGGGGCTTAAAGGATCATGGGACTTAGTAACTATAGGGGTTACTTAAAGGGCTCCTTTAAAGGGATCTGTAAGGGGTCTAGAAGAGGGTTCTTAGGGTACTTAAATGATCATGGAACTTAGTAACTAGGCTTATAATTAGGGTTACTATACTTATAACCCCAATTAGGGTACTTCTAACCTTACTTACTAGGTCCCATGATCTTCCAAGGGGGGGTGAGGTTCAGGGTTTCCGAGTTTGGGGCATAGAGGTTCAGGGGTTAGTTAGGCTTTAGGGTTTGAGGCTTGCGGTGTAGGCGTTGAGGGTTCAGCGTCGTTTGCAGGTACTTGCGAATGAGTTCGGGATGGTGCGGGAACTTGATTTCAAGAGTTTCAGGACATGAGATATGTGGTAGTTGCGATCTGCTCGAGTCAACACTGGAAGCTCAGAATCGCCCTTGTGTTCAGGCCTGAGACGGGGCGAGGAGGCCAGCTGTTACTTGTAGCCTTCGGCACACCGCAGTGAGAAAAAGACTTTCCCCTGAACTTCTGGCAGCGAATTCAAGCCCTCCCCGTGTCCTTTTCGGTGTCCTCCATGTCCAGGAATTTGATTCAGAGGTCTTGGAGCCGGACCCTGAGCATGGGCATGCGAAGCTGCCAACGTGTTTTGGGGGTAGCGCTTACAGTAGGGCTTATCATGGGACTTAGTAAGTAAGGTTTTAGGTGCCTTAATAGGGGTTATACGTGGTCATAAACTTGGTTACCCGAAATATAACCCTACAGTCCTAGTCCCATGATCCTTTGACTAGGGCCGAAAGGCTACAAGCTACAAATAACAGGACTGCCTTCATGCTTCCTGGCAGCTGTTGTCAGCCGGCTCTTTTTCGTCGGTCCTCCGGTGGTGCCAGTACAAAAAGCCCATATGCTTCTGTGCTTGGAAGCAGGAGGTGTGCTAGATTCTGCTTGAGTTGCAGTTGGACTCCGTGCCGATCTCTTCGTCAAAAGTAACTGCCACGAGATATTCACCTGCGTTGCCATGGCTCCATCGCGCACTTCGAGACGCCGCTGCATCCGTCTGCTGACAGGCACGGGGCAGGCGATTGTCAGACAATGCTGCTCGCATCTTGTTCTTGGGAAAGGCACAGCACTGGCGCTGCTGGCGCTGAGAGCACTGAGCTTCGTGGCCCCGCGAGGCACGCGGGGCCAGCATGCCGGTGATTGTTGTGCTGGAGAGTGCAGCAGATACCGCACTTTGCGGTGATTTGCAATGGGCTCGGCTGGGCTTTCGTATTCTACGGATGAGCTCTTGCTCTAGACGACCCTCAGGATGCGGGAAACTACTACTGGATTCAGGAAAATGATGCCACCGCTTGACTCGCAAAAGCCATTGTAGAACATGTGCAGGCCCTTATCAGTCAATTTGCACCGACATTGCTAGCAAGTTTTATCCCAAGCTTGTGAGCCCGGAGCCGTAGTCGTCCGTCACATTCAATTCCAAGACTCCGTGGCCTTTCCCTTTCCAAGAATCTGGCGTGCCTGCGACCCTGACACGGCGCCACGCCGTGGAGACGGCAGAGCTGGCAAAGGAGGAGGCATCCAAATAGGTTGCGATCGAGGGTCGATTCATGTCGTACGAAGATGGAATCGCAGTGATCTGTCGCGTCGCAACTACGACGATGACGGTCGTTTGCTGCTGCTGCTACTGCTGCTATGACAGGAACTGCTAGAGCTGCTCGAAGAAGTTCACGGACCGCCGCACACGGAGCTATACCCCCATTGAAAGATCATTCAATTTTGAATAACAGATCCAGCAGAAGCCTCTCATTACCTGCTTCCAATAATTTTTTTCCGCATGCCATACCCGTATCATGGCAAATAAAACGAACTGATCGCGCCAAGCAGGTCCCTACCAAAGAACACCCTAAGCCGACTCTTCTGCAAAACCTATCGAGCCGTGATTCGCATACCACAGGAATCTTCCCAAGCACGGCAATGCCTTTGGAACGAAGACTGTAGATTGGTTCTGGAAGTTTAATGGAGAGGGCAAATGAGTTGGGGCTTTATGTGGGTTCAGCAGCTTTGTTAGCCATGTTGAGGAATTCTGCCTCAAGCAAATCAAACTGGCAGCGAACATCCTTTGAGCCGTGACCGAGACGTCAGTCGAAGATATTTTGCACGCAGGCGCCCGTGGACGACGGCCGCGTCCTGGATGGCTCTGGAATCGTCGGGTCCGTTGGGGCATTGGTTCTGGCCGTTGCGCTGCTCCCCTATGTAGCAACCTGACTGAAACTGCAAACCGTAAACCTGCACGCATCGGGAAAAGGCTCTCAATGTGAAAACAAATCTTGCATTTCTGGCATTTCTTTGACCGGTCTTTGTCCGAGGCCCTCAGCCTCTATAGTGCTGCCCAACTGGCAACACAGGGCCAGGCAACTTTGATGCAACCGATATGGTGGGGGTCGGAGTGATGAGTACGAGTATCCACCGATAGGTCAGTCAAAAAGCATGCCGCGATACATCCCCCCAACCCCGTTCGCATTGGTAAGGCCCCTACCTTGTAAGCACGACGCACGTCAATGGTCTCAGTTTCATCTCATGGGTTCCTGGCACCGATTGTCGGATTTTTTCGACATGTAGGCTTCTAGCAGATGGAGCCCAAGTCCTGCTCCCCTTGGCCGAAGATGTTTCCGCCCGGCCCCCACCTATCCTACTCTGTGGGGGCGAGGTCGAGGCTCTCAAGCCTTTACAAAAGCATCGAAGGAGTCGTAGAGTGCAGTATATGGTATTCAAAACCGCGAGAGAAAGTCCGGGGATACAGCCATCGTCACAGTCATTTTTTATTGTTAGTAGTATTATTATAATTAATATTTTTTATCACTATTGTGATTACCATTATTGTTAAGAGATGGTGGCAAATTATCAGCAGTGTACTGGGTTCAGGCCTTCGCGCCCATCCTTCTCAACGGGAGCCTCGGTCCAACCGGTGTCCTGGGTCTTGGAGAAGGCCGAGAGATTCGAAGGGGGCAGTCTTAACAATAATGGTAATGTCAATAGTAATAAAAATAAAAATAACAATAATAATACTACTAACAATAAAAAATGATTTTCAAGAATTCTTATCCTTGTCGAGAGCTAGGCGCACCCTCGCCCCCAGCGAGCGGCATAAGCAGAGTCAGAGTGAGGGACTTGTTGTTGGGGGATTCTGTCCGTCTCTTCGGTTCAGTATCAGATTGATTGGACTGATGCCTTCAACGCCTCCTTGCTCACGGCATGCTTCAGCTGTTGGGATATGGGGCTTACTGTACTCGGGGTCTTCCGGTCGATATCAGTGCGATGCAAAGGCTGGCAACTGTCCTTCTTGCAAAGCATCTGCATCTGAATCAGAGCATTGTCACCAAAGCCGAGTCCGCCCAGCCTCTTCCCCCAAAACGGGCTCTCAGCAGGCATCGGCGTGGTCGTCGTTTTTGGCGTGTCGCTTTGGTCTTTCCTCTCACTGCTGACCCGCGCCATGTCATCAGACTCGAGGTTGTACGTTGCTGACAGCTGGGTGGTTGTCAGAATTAAGGTCCCTTTTTGGCACCCTAAATGCTAGGTGCCGTGCTACATTAAGGACCCCAAAAGGGACCATAATTTTGACAACCACCCAGTTGCTGGGCGGTAGTGGGGAAGTCTCATTTGGTGTCCTTGCGCTTGAGGCATCGACTCCAGGCCGAGCATAACATGCATAACAGAGCATGAGTTTAGTCGGATGTAGTTCGGGGGGGATGCTTCTATTTCGCCCCCGAATGCAATTCAAGTGGATGCCCCCTGCAAGCAACTCGAGGGTGATTTGGATTGAGGAGCCCCGAACAATCTCATGAGATTCTGCGGACTTACTTGGGGATCCTAGCATCACGCACTAACACGGTTGTCAGGATGTAAAGGGTGATAAAGAGGTTCCAAGCAAGTCTGTCAGCACTGATCGGATATCTCGAGGTAGGAGGCTTCCAGGTTTTCGTGGGGTTCTGTGGCAGTTCGCTTAGTCCGGCTTAGGGCAGCTGTTGTTTTGCTCAGGTCTGAAGCAATATAGAGGCGAAAAAAGTTACCTAGACCATTTGGGGGTTCCTATTATAAGTATAGTATAATGGCCCCCAAAACCCTATTCGAATTATTAAGGCCCCTATATTAGCTTTGGAAGAACCGTTCAGGAGTCGGACCGGTTTTGCAGGCTACGCCCTTACGTGCCTGTCGAGGTTTCAATAGGCTCAAAACGCAGCCAGCAAGCCTCTTGTGGTTTGCGGCGGCCCCAAACCTAAAACCGGTTCGAACCCTCAACCCGAAAACCAAAACCCGAAACCCTGACCATAAACCCTAAGCCTAAACGGCCCTAAACCCGAAACCCTTTCTCGGAACCCTTCGCCCAAACTCGAAACCCTAAATTCGAACCCCAAGCTCGAAACCACAAACAAGGCCAAAACTTGAAATTCTAGAACTCAAGCCTTAAGCTCAAAACTCCGATACCCTGCACCCTAAACCCGAAACCCTAAGACTCTGAGCCCGAAACCTTAAAGCACCCCCTCCTGGCATGAGCCTTATAGTGGCCTTAATAATTAGGCTCAACTCTCAAGCGACACCTCCAGTGAATTAGGCACACGGTCTTGAGCGGGAGGAGGGGTAGTACTCCTGCAGAGTTCGCTTGCTTGCTGCGCCATGGCGCCTTCTAGCAGTGGCGGCTGCTGTCCCTGGTTGTCAGGATTGCATCAGCTGCTTGGCGATGGTTTCCAGATTTGGCGAAAAGGCACGGGCGACGGGGATCCTCACTGCCGGGGGGACCCAGACCAGCTGGCAGATGCTGAGGGCGGCATGGCCAGCAAATACTTTGACGAAGCAGGGTGCGTGATGACTGGGAGTGCGAAGCAACAGCCCATTTTGGCCTTTGGGAACAGCCGTCGAAGCATGGCTGACATGGCTGGTGAGCGTCTTTGCTGGACCAGCCGACAGCGTTCAGATGATGAGGACAGATCGACAGCAGTGGCAGGTGCGAGCCCAGGGCCGGCAGAGGGGTCTTCTCTTTCAGCCCGTTTCGCCAGTGGTTTTGGCACCAACCAGCCTGACAGCAGCGGAGCGGCTTTGTGGTTTCGAGCAGCTTCGCGACATTCAACACCATGGTGGTTCAGGCAGGGGCCGGGCACCAGTTCGACAAGGGCATTGTGGGCGGCGGGTTCGAAGACGCACCGGCCACTACAATGGGCGGCGAGACACGTGGGATTCCCATTCCTGTCTCCGTCCTCCTCGCCGCCTGAGACGCGGCAAGGTGCGGCGAATCGTGACCAGGCAGCAGCGGCGCCGATCTGGTTGTGGGATTTGTGATGGCCGAGCGGGCGATGTGCTTGGGCAACACCCACTCTACATGACTTTGGGGGCTGATGGCGCTCTGCCGGTGCGGGGCCCTCTTCGTGGGCCTGACTTTGGTACGACTCCGAGCTCCTCGTTTTCAGACGCTCGGCTTGAGTGTAGGCCCGGGGCGTGCCGTCAGGGTTCACTTCGGAGGGGGATTGCTGTGTCGTGGGACCGGACCCGAGGACCGAGAACAGTGATCAGAAGAAAGGTGAAACAACGGGACCGGACCCCAGGACCGAGAGCAGTGACAAAAAACGTTGAACAAGATCCCAAAGAGGACCAAGAGCAGGGTCGGGACCCTGCCCATGGCACCCGGAGTGCCTACCATAGCTCCGATGGGCTCCCCAGGGATCATGTTGCGCCCGTGCCGTCAGCCATGGATGGTGCGATGCCAGAGGTGCCAGCTGCTGCGTTTCAGCACGAAGAAAACGACGGGATGATCGACAGTTCGGGGTCGACTTTCTTGGGAGGAGCTGCCAGCTGCTTCTATTTCCATTTTGACTTCTACCTCTGGAGACGCTCAGCGCGCAATTGCCCAAGTTGGTCGAGTTGCACCGAAAGGGCCGAGTACATCCACTGGGGCAGCGCTGCGGAGCGGACTGGTGCTGATTGCAGGGCAAGGGCGACGATGATGCGATGCAGCGTCCTGCTAAGCCTGGAAAAAGTAGCGGAGCCGCTGCTCGTGAGAAGCAGCAGCCTCTAGCCAGGGAGGCAGACGAAGGCGAGTGGAGGCTCGTCGAGCGGAAAGCGACCGGAAAGGACTTCGTTCTTAGACAGCAGGTTTGGGATGCGCCCCTGATCTTGTATGGTGAGGTGTCGGCTGCACTTGACAAGATCAAGCAGGACGAGGTTTTCAGGGCAGCTGTTCGTTGCGATCCGAGTCAAAGGACTTTGTTGCAGAGGGTTTTGCAAGGTTCCAGCCGAAAGCACAGTGTTCTTGCCGTCACCATCAGCAAAGAGGACGACCAGGATCCCAAGACCCAGCAAGGGGTGCCCGGCAAGCAAGGGGACGCCCTGGTTTTCCGTGCTGCCACGGTTGTCAAGTTGACTTCTCCAGAGCAGTGCGCGCCGCAGCCGAAGGGCATGCAGCAGGCAGCGGTCAAGCTTGTGAAGAAGCCCACGGAAGTGCTGGTGGTCAGGGTCAGCAAAAACTTTGCCACCAAGGAGCTTTGGGATGCCTTTACCACAAGCCCTCAACGCAGTGTCCAACAATGGCTGGCCGACAGGCACGTGAACGCATTGGACTCTTTCTCGTGGAAAGATGAAAAGGGCGACAGCCATGGCCACCAATTGTATGGACTTGTCCGCCTTTTGCAGCCCGAAGCACTTGCGATTCTGGGCTCGTCTGGACAGGATGGAGTGTTCTTGGATCCCACTAAGTCGATGGGCGTCTCGGGCCGCATCACTTGGGTGGAGCGGAGCTCCAAAAATGAAAGCCACGGCGACTATCACGCCAGAGCCATCAAATTTGGTTTCCGTCGATCCTGAACAGGCGAAGGTGATCCTCGAGAGGTACTTTGCCGATGTGACGATGATGCGTGCCAGAGGCTTTAAGGGGGAGAGGACCTTCTTCTTCAAGGCGGCTCATCCCAGCGACCCTAACAGCGATTTGGTTCCCATCAATTTGGACACTGGCGACGGCGTGATCACCACGTGGGCTCGGGTTGCACCGCCGAGGACTGAAAAGTTCAAGCAGCGGCAGCTGCCCACCACGGCTCTGCCCTTGGAGCAGAAGCAGACTTTTAGGGCGGCGAACCCCGTTGCTGTTCCAGCTGCGTCGGCCGCTGATGCCGACGACTTGGAAGCCCAGGACGGCGCTGGAGCCGATCAAGCTGACAAGGATGGCAAGAGCCGGGACAAGCCGGCCGAGGATGCTCCCGCTGCGAAGTGCGTTGCAGTCGCGCCGGAGGTGCGGCCGATCCCGAAGGGCCTTCGCAAGGAGGCCCAGCCCAGAGACGGCGCCTGTGGGTTCCACTGCTTTTCGTCAGGACTCAAGATCATCAGCAAGGGAAAGCTCGAGAAGCACCCGAGAATCTTGAGAGCCGAATGCACCGAACATATGCAGAAGCACTCCGACGAGTACAAGGCGGCATGGGACAGCAAGGGCCTTGACGGAAGGGTTCTTGACTCGTGGGACACTTACATCACTGAGATGAGCTCCGAAAGTGCGTACATTATAGCGACCTCGAGCTGAAGGCGATGGCGAGGCTCTACGACGTCAAAGTGGTCCTGGTGCCAGAGATGGCATGCTTCCCGCCTGTGGTCTTCCACTCAGGCCAGAAGTCTCCGAAGCGGCGCTTGATCCTCTGGTACTCAGGTCGTCACCTTGACTTGTTGCTGGTGGAGGATGGCAAGAAGATTCCCAAGGAGATCGCCGAGGTCACCGCCACGATTAACTTCGAGCTGCGGGTGGGTGGTGAATCTTCGTCGGCATCTGGATCTTGGGGACCACGAACGGTGCTCACGCAGGACCGTGGTTCTTCGTGCTCGTGGCAGTCGCCGGCGGGCACAGTTTGGACCAAGCGTTCAGGCGCAGCTGCTGCTGGGCCTGCTACTTCCGGTGGCCTGCGCGCTAAGGCCACCGCGTCTCAAGGCGCTGAGACCCTGGACGAGGTTGCTCCCGAGCCCAAGGCGTCCGCCCGTCGTGTCTTCAACTGGCAGCAACACGGTCGTAAGGTTCCTAAGTATTTCAGGTGTGGGCTCTGCCCGTACGTCGTCGCCGTCAAGGATGCTAAGGAGCTGTGTTGGAAACGCAGCAACCGCTGCAGGCGATTCCACAACGGCGAGTGGATATCGCAAGAGGACCGGCGAGTACATCACCCCCATCAAAGGCCCTCGTGCACATTATGCTTGTCCTTTTCCCCTTTGCCCTTACGGTTTGGCCAACAAGCTCCGATCGGCGCTGACAGCCACTACGGTGCTCTTGGCGAAGAGGCGCCGCCGGGAGGAGCACCATCCGAGGATCACTCCGGCCAAGTGGAATCAGCTTTGTGTTCCTCGTGGCCAACGGCGTGCAGCGCAAAGAATCACCAAATTCAACTGCAGTGTGGCCAAGAACCTCGCGGAGGACGTGAAGAGGCAGGCTGAGGGATTTCGCAGGTTCACGTGGCCAGTTCGCAAGTATGCTAAGGGGACCGCTCAGATCACGGGAGTCAAGTTTCGCTCTGCTTGGTCGTGCACTCGTTGTGGTCGTTGTTTTGGTTGTCGCACAGCGCTGCCAGCTCACCGCAAGACCTCACGACACCATCCCAACCCGTGCTCTAGGGATCGAGTCCGGAGGGTGCGCAAAACTCACTTGACCCACCTTGCTCGGCTGGAGAAGTGGTGCCATCGTGATCACAGCCGTCACGGCTTTCAGAAGGAGTCGCTCGACAGCATTTTTCAGGAGGCACGGGCGGTCATCGGAGGTGAGTACGTGCAACCATGACTGCGGCTAGGTCAAGGGAGGACAGCAATAGCACTCTCAATGTTGATAGGGCTGGTGCTTCAAAGTTTTCCGAGACCAGGAGTTTCATGGAACATTTTCAGGCAGATGCCTTCTCTTTGCAACAGCTCGACATTGCCGATGTGGAGGTGGCGAGCTACACTACAGCGTGGAGGCAGACTGGGGCTCAGATCATCCTCTCGAGGCCGGAGTCCCAAACGGGTCGACGTAGGGTGGGCTTGATCACAACTCTGCACGCTCGAGCTCTCCGGATGCCTCCTGAGTCTTTGGCTGCCACTCGTGTTGCAGCCGCCATCGTGCAGGTCCAGTCTGGTGGGCGGCCGGTGCCCCTGGTGCTTGGCGCCCTCTATGGTGTTTCGGAGGCCACGGACCAGGTGGTGCAGCAGTTTCTGGAGGTTGTGAGGCCCATGCGATGCATGTATGTGCTCTTCGGGGACTTCAACTGGCAACGGGGCGAGGCGGGGTTGATTGACTCGTTGTTGTCGACAGGGCGCCTTCGGTGCCTGGACGACGACTTTGCGGGGATCCTTCCTATAACACTTCCCCAACAGGACGCGGAGGATTGACTTCGCCGTGGCCCACCCGGCAGTGGTGGCCAGTGCGAGGCTTGCCATTTTGATGGGCCGGCGGACCATGTTGCCGTCGGCTACACGCTTGACCTCGACCTCAATTTCTCCGGCCACCGACTTCTGCTTCGGGCTGCAGTGGCAGCGGAGTTAGATGAGGAGGCCATTGCCAACCGGTTTCAGCAATAAGTTTGGAACGTAGGTGACTTTGAGCATTGTGTGCAACATGGCCAGATCGACGACGCATGGGGATGCCTTTCAGGCGCTGCTGAGCGGGCTCTCAGTGTCAGTCCTGGTACCTCGGGGCCCCGGGCTTTCGATCCCGTGCCGGTGCCTAATGAGGCCGAGTGCCGACGACTCCGGCGACCTCGGCAATCTCGCGGCCTAGGTGGGTTACGGCGCCTCCTTCGACGACTACGCCAGCTTGAGATGGAGCCCGAGGACCAGTGTCTCCGTAGATCCATCAAGGCCTCTCTGGTGGACTTGCGCGAGCTAGTGCCCGCGCTGCCTTATTTCCCTGGGAGGCTGGAGGCGAGGTGGCTTAGCTTGTTCAGCAATACGAGACCCAGGAGTCTGAGGCCAGATTGGATGCGTGGCGCAACACCGACAAGTCCTACACGAAGAGTTGTGCATGGGTCAAACGGAAGGCCGATGAGGCACAAGCGTGTTTCGGGCAGCCTACGGAGCTCAGGGAGGCTGTGGCTACACATCCGATTCAGATTCTTCGTGAACAGAGTGCAGTGTGGAGTGCTTTGTGGACACGTTCCCGGGAGGCACCATTCGATCCTGGACCTCTTCGTCAGGTGCTTTCGGAGTTGCCTCGGCCTCTTGACACCCAGGTCGACCTTCAGGTTTCAGCGGAGGGGTTGTGCAAGGCGACACAACGCATGCTGAAGAAAGCATGCGGCAGTGATGGCTGGGAGGCTCGCGACCTCCTGCGTTTGCCGCCAAGCTTCTGGGAGGCCACCCCCACTTTGTGGAATCGGGCTCTTGAGATTGGCGTGCTGCCATCATCATGGACTTCAGCTTTGGTGGTCTTGCTGCCTAAGGCCGACGGTCGCACGAGGCCGGTGGGTCTCCTTTCCATTCTGTGGAGAGCTGGCGCACGGTGCCTTGTCAAGCAACTGCGAGGCTGGGTCGGGTCATGGACCACGGCCCAAGCCATGGGAGGCATCGCTGGTGTGGGGATTGCCGACACACACCTCCGTTTGATGGGCGCACATCGGCGCGGCTGTCGCGCCTTCGTGAAGCAAGATTTGTCTCATTTCTTTCGCTGACGTTGGACGTTCTGCTCCCATTGATGGAACACTACAAGGCGCCGGCAGCGTTGTGCAGGCTGGTGGAAGCCATGTACTGCGACTCGCGGCGACTCTTCAAAGTGGAGCAGTTCACTTCTTCGGGCTTCATCACGGCAAACCGTGGAGTGGTTCAGGGGTGTCCTTTGAGTCCTGTCCTCTCCTTGTTGGTCGGTCAAGCATGGGTTTCGTACAGTGTTCTTCAGACGCCGGAGATCCAGTCGCTAGTGTACATCGATGACAGGCTGTTGTGGCCCGTGTCGTGGACTCGCCGCGCCGAGGCGGCGATGCACAATGTGTTGCAGCGGTCCGACTACTTCGATGCTGCCATGGGCCTCCAGTGCAAGCCTGAAAAGTGCGCGCTGGCGCACCACGCTCAGTCTACTGAGCTGGTTCCATTGATGCAGGAGCGCGGCTACCCTTGTGGCAACACTCTCGAGTTCCTTGGCATTCAGTTTGACCTCACGACGCTTCAGTGCGTCCCACTCAAGCTGAATCTGGAGAAGGTCAAATGGCGCCTTCGGTACCTGCGACGCGCGGGCGTGACCTTGACACTCCAGAAGCTGCTCCTGTCTTGTCTGGTTTCGTCTGCTTTGTTCTGGGCAGGTGGGGTGGCCAAGCCCTCGATCGGACGGAGCTGTACTTTTTCTTGCAAGGGAGTTTTCTTAGGGAGGCCCCCAAAGTCTTGATTCATGAGCTGATGGGTTGGAGGTCCGAACCGCAGTTTGCTTGTGACATCGCCGCTTTTCAGGCTGTGACGCGCCATCTCTCTCGCACGCCTGAGTGGAGAGACCAGGTGCCGTTGACTGAGGCGTTTGACAACTGGCAGGACGTGCTTCCCCTGGCGGTGCAGGCAGCGGCGAGGTGCGGTTGGCAAGTTGTTCGGCATGGACGGGCACTGCAACGAGTTGATGACCAAGGCAGGCTGAGGACCTTTGAGTTCGGCTGGGAGTCCATCGAGGTGCTCGAAGACTGGCTCCGCATGAAATATCGGCGCAGGTATATGACTCGATGTGGCAGGGTGCAGAACAGCTAAAGTCTTTGGCAGTGCTCCTTCTCTGCCGCAGCGGCGGGCTGCCGCGGCTACCGGCGGCACCGTGTGGCATTGGACGGCTGGCAGCAAGCTTGAGCAAGGGGACCCTCGGGTTGTGGGCAGTGGGCTCCCTCGCAGGCCCACCTCACGTGGACGTGCGAGTCCACAGCCGTGTGTAGAGCTGGAGTTCAACCACCAAAGCACCGGGCCGAGGAACGTCTCTTTGCCCGTGGGCTGCCGCAATGGCCACCAGCTCCACTTTCACTGGACGAGGAAGATTTCGTCGAGGGCATCGCTGAGGCTGTGGGTAGTGCGGCGGCCGAGTTTCGGGGGGTGCCTCGAGTTCCAGGACTTCTCGCCTCCAGAGGATGGTGGCAGCGACGGATGGCTCGGCACGTGATGGAGTTGCCGGCTACAGCGTTGTGTTTCCTGGAGGACGTGGCGGAGGCACAGGTGATGGGAGCGAAGACCAGAGCTCGTTTCGTGCCGAGCTCAAGGCGCTCCTCATCCTCTTCCGGGCGGTTAGACTTGCTGGTGAGAGTGGGTTGTCACCACGTGTGCTGTGGGTCGTCGTTGACTGCAAAGCGGCCCTCGATAGTCTCGCAAGTCCTGGCACGTGCAGTCTGCCTTTGCTGGCAGCTGCTGCTGCTGCTGACAACTTGAAGTTTCTGAAGCACGCCGGCTGGCAGGTCAGGCCCTTTTGGTGCCCGAGCCATGGTAAACGACTGGACTGGCGAGCCCCTCATCCTCTTCGCACAGACATGTGCAGACTCTTGAACGAGGCTGCAGATGGCGAGGCGAGGAGAGCCATGGAGCGTCGTCGTGCAAGTTCTCTGCGCAGCCGCTGGCACGCTGAAGCCGCACAGGTGTGTCAGTGGGAGGAGAAGGCCATCCTGGCCGCTGCCCATGCGGGCCAGGTCTACGGTGAAAGTGTCCTCAAGGAGACCCAACAACTTCGTGCTGGTGCGGACGGTGGCGGATAGCTGCCGGGACAACTTGGTGTTTCGCTGAAAACCTGCAATGAAGGGGCGACGTGCTTGTCCCCAAACATGTCGGCTGCTTCGTGTCTGACTGTCCTTCTGCGGTGGGGGCTGGGCTGGCGCTGGCTGTGGTTGGCTGGTGGGGAGCTTGGCATCTGCTGCAGGTCTGAACGCAACCTTTGTGAAGCGAGCACTCTCGACGGCTGAGCGGGGCGCTGTGGCGAGCCTCACTGAGTGCGAACGGCGAGGCCTACTGAGAGTGCTGTAGTACCTTTTTACCGTTGAACTTCTTAACCAGGGACTAGAAGTTTTGCAGCTGTGTATGCTGTCTGCGTGCCAGCTGCTGTAGCTCAAGTTTCGCTTGGGCGACGAAGGCCGTCACTCCACAGTAGAGCGTGCTTGTGACACGTGGCCGGAGTTTCACGAAGTGACCAGACAAGGACTCCTGGCCTGCGGTGCGTGCTTGCTGCGCGTGCCGAGGGGGTCGGGAGCGCTCAGTGAGTCGAGCCTTAATAATTATTAGACTAGGCCTTTGAAGCCCGGTAGTTATCTACAATTATAATAAGGAAACCTTAAACCCTAAATCCCATAATATGGAAGCCCCCAAAATCTGAGCCTCCCAAGGCGGCGCAGGGCTCCCTGAGGGACCTCTGAGCCTCTTGGGCCTCACGCAGAGCCTGTCTTTCGCCGCAGCCTCGACTCTTTCCGGGAGTTTCCGGCTTTACTTACCTTTTTTGTAGGGAATGGAAGAATGGTAGTAATTGGTGTCATAGTTGTACCCCATTCCTCCATTCTCTACAAACCAATGGTAAGTTTAGGGGTCTAGGGGTTTAAGGGTTGGGGTTTAGGGTTTAGGCGAGGGCTTTTCTTCTGCGCTGGGTCTCCTGTGATTTTGAGACTGGTGGAGCATGTTTATGAGTTTTGGGAAATTTCAGCCGTGGGATGTGCATGTGCATGTGTACGTATGCATCTATGTGTGGGTGTGGGTATGTAAATGCCACATGTACGTAACTTTATGTGTACGTATGTGTATGTAGGTTGGTAGACTGGCAGGCAGGCATGTAGGTATACGTATATGTATATATGTATATATGCATATGTAAAGATATATAGATATATAGATATATAGATATATAGATATATAGATATATAGATATATAGATATATAGATATATAGATATATAGATATATAGATATATAGATATATAGATATATAGATATATAGATATATAGATATATAGATATATAGATATATAGATATATAGATATATAGATATATAGATATATAGATATATAGATATATAGATATATAGATATATAGATATATGGATATATAGGTATATAGGTATATAGGTATATATATATATAGAGATATATAGATATATAAAGATATATAGATATATAGATATATAGATTTATATAGATATATAGATATATAGATATATAGATAATAGATATATAGATAGATATATATATATATATATCTGTACATACGTATGCACGTGGGTATGTATGTGTGTATATTGTAGATGTGTAGATGCATATACTAGGTGTGCATGATTGTGAATATAGGTGTTTAGAAATGTGCAGATGTGTACGGATTTGCAGAAGTGTGTGCCTATGTGCACATGTGTGTACTTATTATGTGTATATGCGTGTAACTTATGTGCCTGCATATGTGGATTGTGTGTGTATGTGTACATATATATATATAAACAGAAAATAAGATGGTGATAGAAGCTGGCAACGTCGCTGTGAATATGAGATCGTTTTGCAACCCTGAATTTGAAACCAGGTCAGTGCACTGGTGTTTGCCCTGGCCGGCTTTGTCAATGGCCTGGGTGAGGCCTCAAGGGCTGCGGGAGGTGTGGGGCTTGGGGTTCAGTGTGGAGGAATCTATTTGCAGTTTGTTTCAGAGAGCTTGGAGTTGCTCATGACTTGGAGTATGGCTTGCACGGCTCTCCGTAATTTTATGTTGTCTGCCGTAGGTTGCGCAGTCTGGAAGTCGCACAGGTAAGAGTAGTAATAGTAGTCAGTAGCAGTAGCAGTGGTAGTAGTAGTAGTAGTAGAAGTAGCAAGAGCACCAGGAGTAGCAGTAGCTAGCAGTAGCAGTAGGAAAAGGAGGAAGTAGCGTCAGTGTTAGTAATAGTTTTAGTATTAGTACTCTTGTTACTAGTACCATTGCTATCATCAGTAGTTAGTTGTCGTTATTGGTGCAGTTGCATCTGCAGTTCAAGTCGCAGTGGCAGTTGTAGGGTCAGTTGCAGTTACAGTTGCTGTTGTTGTTGTTGTTGCCGTTGCTGTTGGTCTTCTTTTTTTGTTGTTGTTTGCTATTGTCATTGTATTCGTCGTCTTTGCTGTCGTAGTTGTAGTTGTCGTGGTACAAGCAGGAGCAACAGTCGCAGGAGTGAAGAAGCAGAGATGCTTTTCGGGAAAGCACGCTTACTTGGCCAACAAGACGATATTGAGTAGCACATGGTCTAGCCAGTCTAGCCGTCGAGGGGTTTGCCCCAACGACATCTATCTGATTACCTGTAGGGTCCATGGCTCGGGGATCCACCAGACGTGTCCCAGAATGGCGACCTCTGACCTAAACTCAAAAGCAATGGACCGAGGAGAACCCGGTTCGTGGCATCAGTCTGGGAGCCTCGCCCGCGCAGCTTGAGCAAGTGGATTCTCGGCTTCGGTGATGTCCTGGCATGCCGGATTGTCAACACTTCAACTGATGCAAGAAGAATGTGATCTTAAGCTTCAACGAATGTGCAGCATGCTTGTGTCGGTGTTCGGCTGAATCTGCTAGAGGACCTGCAACCCTGAACATCGCGCCAGTCAGGCATCCAAAAGCGGAAAGCTGCTGACAAAGGCCAATGAAGAGGCACCAGCATGTGGAATCGTTGTTGCTTCGTAGCTTCACCAGCGGTGCTGCTGCTGCTGCTGCTCCTGTTACGACCCGCCATTACCGCAACAGCAACTGCCTGTACGTAATGTACCACTACGACTACGACTGCGACAACTGCTGCCACTACTACTACTACTACTACTACTACTACTACTACTACTACTACTACTGCTACCACTACTGCTACCACTACTGCTACCACTACTACCACTACTATTACGACGACGACGACGACAACAACTGCTACTACTACTACTACTACTATTACTACTACTACTACTACTACTACTACTACTACTACTACTACTACTACTACTACTTGCTGCTGCTGCTGCTGCTGCTGCTGCTGCCGCTGCCACCGCCCTTGCCCGACGACTACGACGACTACTATGCTGCTGTTGCTGTTGCTGTTACTGCTGCTGTTTATGCTGCTGCCGCTGCCGCCGCCGCTTTGCTACTGGCGGTTGGTACCAGCCGTCAACACATTGCATCAGCATTTGCCCTTGGCATGGTTTCTGCACCGCCACAACAAGAAGAGAGTCTGCTTCCGTCCTGTAAGTGGAGCACCTCTCAGGGGGAGTGAGTATCTGTGTTCGTTTTACGAAACCCATCATTCAACGTGTCGTGAGTTTGCAGGTTGCCCGCATCACGGCAGAGCCGCGTGCAGAGTTGGAGGCAAAATTGAAGGAGGTGGAGGCAAGCAGTCAGGGGGGGCCATGTAGAAAGGCAGCTTCTGGCAACTCCGATGTGCAGTGACCTCGAACCCAAAACCGTTGATGCGCCTGGCGGGACTCAAGAAGCAGCTTGCAGGAGCAAGCCTCGACTGAGTTTTCCAAGACGCCAGCCGCGAAGGCAGGCAGCTTGCCGCTATCCCGCGCAAGGTTTGGAAGATGACAACAAACGGTGACAATTATCATGATTTTACTGCTGACAACGAGAATAACCATGACAGTGACAGTTGTTTCCTGGTCCTTCATGCTAGTGTCAGTGATGATAGCTAAGGCCGCCGTTTACTTTGCAAGGAAGGTTATTGATACTTGTGCATCCTACTGTTCTTGTGGTTGTTGTTCCTGCTAGCAGCAGCAGCAGCAGCGGCAGCAGCGGCAGCAGTTAGCAGTTAGCAGTAGCAGCAGTAGCAGCAGTAGCAGCAGTGCAGCAGTAGCAGCAGTGCAGCGGTAGCAGCAGCAGCAGCAGCCGCGGCGGCGGCGGCGGCGGCGGCAGCAGCAGCAGCATCAGCCGCGGCGGCGGCGGCGGCGGCGGCAGCAGCAGCAGCAGGAGCAGTAGCAGGAGAGTAGCAGTAGCAGCAGCAGTAGTAGCAGCAGCAGTAGCAGTAGCAGTAACAGTAGCCGTAGCGATAGCAGTAGCCGCAGCGGGAGCAGGAGCAGGAGCAGTAGCAGGAGCAGTAGCAGGAGCAGGAGCAGTAGCAGGAGCAGTAGCAGTAGCAGTAGCAGCAGCAGGAGCGCAGCAGCAGGAGCAGGAGCAGGAGCAGTAGCAGTAGCAGTAGCAGTAGCAGCAGCAGCAGTAGTAGCAGGAGCGGGAGCAGTAGCAACAGCAGCAGTCGTGGTGGTACTCACCATTGTAGTTTGTAGTGGTTGGGGTGGTGGGGGTTGCCGTTCTGGGTGGTGGTCGTCGGGGTGGGGCTGCTGGCGGTGGCGTCCGTGATGTTCAGGAAGTTTAGTTTTCTTACGGGGAGATGTTGTGACGCAGGTGAAGCTCCCGGATGTCAAGGCGCCCGACGTCAAGCTTCCAGACCTTCCGGACGTCAAGCTTCCGGACGTGAAAGTTCCAGCGTTCAAGATGCCGGACTTCAAGATGCCAGACGTGAAGATGCCAGACGTGAAGGTCCCAGATGTCAAGATGCCAGCCTTCAAGGCCTGCGAGCTGCTCTGATGGCAGGCGCCCGCCAACCCCATGGGATGCTGTCCCTGCGCAGGTTCCGCAGATGAAGCCACCGCCGGCGAAAACACCAGAACCTGCCGAGGCTATTCTTCTGGTGTGGGATTGTTTTATCCATGCATTCTCCGAAGTATCTGGAAGAAGTGCAGTGACGGAAATCCGAAACACGACGAGGAGCAGCATCATAACAATCACTACGGGCGATAGGCGGCTTCTCCTCCACTGACAGCCTCTGCTAGTCATACTACCAAGAGCAGGTGGTGCAGTCGTAGTAGAATCAGCAGCGCCTGCAGCAGAACTGGCAGCGAGGTGATAGCAGCAGTAGTAGTAGTCGTCGTCGAGGTTGTAGCCGTACCAGGAAAAGCAGCAGAAGCAGCAAACAGTAGCAGTAGCAGTGGCAGTACTAGTAGCAGCAGCCGTAGCAGGCAGTAGCCCGTAGCCTGCAGCCCGTAGTGCGTATCCCGTGCCGTAGCCGTAGCAGTAGCAGCTGTAGTACTTTTAGAGCTGATACTACTCGGACTGCCGCTGTCCTCCCTGCAGCTGCTACCACGACTGCTGGTAGGACATCAGTGACATCATGGGCTGCCATGGACATGACAAGCTTGTGTTTGTGTTTTTGCGGTTCGGAACCCAATATCTTAAACCCCAAACCCTAGAGCACCTATACCCCATACCCCAAAACCCTAAACCCTATACTACCTGAACCCGAAACCCTAAACCCTCTACCACCTAAACTTAACCCTAAACCCCCTACCACCTAAACTTAACCCTAAACCCTCTACCACCTAAACTTAACCCTAAACCCTCTACCACCTAAACTTAACCCTAAACCCTCTACCACCTAAACCCAAAACCCGAAGCCTTAAGCGACCAGGCTGAGGACGAGCCCGAAGCGCCAGCGAAGGAAGAGCCGGCAGCGAAGGTCCGATCCGGGGGCGTTTCAAAGGGTTTTGAAGATTTTGGGGAAACGGGTTTAGGGCTGAAAAGGGTTTGTAGGGTTTTGGGGTTTAGGCTTTAAATGGTTTTAGGGTTTAAAAGGATTTAGGGTTTAAAAGGGTCTAGGGTTTTAGGGTTTAGGGTTTTAAAGGTTTCAGGGTTTTAGGGCACATGGTTGAGAATTCTGGGGTTTTATTTAGGATTTTAGGGTTTTCGGTTTTGCGCTTTAAGGGTTTTAGGATTTTAGGGTTCAGTTTAGAGTTTTAAGGGTTTAAGGTTTTCAGGGTTTTAGGGTTTAGAAGGATTTAGGGTTTAAAAGGGTCTAGGGTTTTAGGGTTTAGGGTTTTAAAGGTTTCAGGGTTTTAGGGTTTCACAGGGTTGAGGATTCTGGGGTTTTATTTAAGGGTTTTAGGATTTTAGGGTTTTCGGTTTTGCGCTTTAAGGGTTTTAGGATTTTAGGGTTTTAGTTTAGAGTTTTAAGGGTTTAAGGTTTTCAGGGTTTTAGGGTTTCCGGGGCTGAAGCTTCAAAAAGGTTCAGGGCATTGAGGGTTTTAGGGGTTTCCGGTTCAGGGTTTCGGTGTTTCCGTTCGGGGGTTTTGGGCTTGGGTGCTTCCGGTTTAGGGTTCGGGGTTAGGGTTTTGGGGGTTTTCCGGTTTAGGCTTTGGGGTTTAGTGTTTCGGGGTTTAAGGTTTCTGGGTTTGGGTGTTTAGGGGTTTAGGGGTTTAGGGTTGAGGGTCTTGGAGCAGGTATCGATTCGTTGTGAACTTATCCTGACATGATCTTTTGCTGGAGTCTGAAGTTGCGCTTTGGGATGGGCACCTTTGCTTTTGAAGTCACGACACGCCGGCATGCCATTGCGTTTTTGACCCCTCGTCCCTTCTCAGGCGGAGGAAGCGGACCTGTTCGGATGAGCTCGCATGTGCTCCCACTGAAGCCATGCATGACCGCTCCCCTTGTAAGTAGATAGAAGGGTATTGAATTGTCAACATGACAGTGCAGTTTGGTGGCTTCAACCAGCTTCATCGCTGGCTTCCGGGCTTCCGATGTAGCAAATGTGATAGGGTTTCAGGGTTTGCAGGGTTTAGGGTTTGATTTCATGTGATTTGCTTTGCATGCCTCGCTGGTAGATGTCGCTACATGTCGAAATCAAGAAGTGCTTTATGACATCGCCAGGTCGCTGGCAAAAACCAGCCTCTGATTTAGACATTTTTTAAAAGTCAGGGTCGATTTCAATGCCCCGGCGCAGTCTCCGTAGTTTCCGAGCTAATGTGACGGACCAATCGCTTGCAAAGACAAAAGCTCGTCGCATCATTCTACGGCATTCATGTCTTAGAGTGGGCTGTTTGACATGTTTCGCCATATTCCGCCCTAGTGTTGAACATACCCGGCATGCAATGACAGAACAACGAGCTCATGAATACGAATAGAACAGAATAGAATCGAATAGTACGGTGTGTCAGTTATATGGTATGAGATGGTATAGTACAGTACAACATAGTGCTTATCACATAATACCACACAATACAATGTAATTCATATGTAACAAGTTGTATTTTCATTTTATTGTACAAAATTCATACAGTGATGTAGCATAACGTAGCACAACACAACACAGCTAAGCAACATATGTTATGGTATGAATATAACACAAGATACTGCCGTATACTGCTGGAGCATGGCGTAGCATAGCACAGCATGATCTTAGGGACAATGCAATATAGCAGTAGACTCCCACAAGATACAGTGCGATACAATGTAATGCAACTTAATACAGCATAATACAATATTGGACAGTATAATGCAAGAAAATGCATGTTTGATACAATATCGAACAATATAGTAGAACTCAATACAATTCAATACAGTATAATGCAAGACAATACAAGTTTAGACAATAGAACAAAGCACAGCACCAGAAAATGCAAGAACACACATTATGTGATATTTGTATATGGTATGACGTGATACGATATAGTGCGGTATTATGTAATGACACATATTGACACACAACGATATGTAATTACACATAATGGTATCTAATGCAATCTAGCTATGTTTGGCCTAACAGGATTTAATACGATTGTGTGCATATACTCACATATACATACATATTGCCGTATACTGTGACATGGGAATGTAATTTAATGTAGTATGAGGTGTATAATCTGATGTAATGTGGTATCATGCATTATAGTTTAATGTTGTGTAATGAGGAATGCAATGCAGTATAACATACCGTAGTACAGTGTAGTATCATGTAGCAATATCTTACATGGCGTGAAACGAAATTGCATTACGCTCCGTGTTGATGCGTTACATTATGTTACATTATATTGCACGACGTTGCATTGCACATGTTTGCCTAATCATATGAAGTAATTAGTATGTAGTGTAGTGCTGTAGTATGTTCTACGTATCTGTGTATGTAATCGTGTACGTACTGGTACGCGTATGTGTATGTATATGTGTCTGTATATGTACAAGCCGATCGCTTTCTGTATGTAAGTATACATGTATAAGTATGTGTAAGTGTGTATGCATGGCCAATTCTGCATGACAGCGGTCAAAAGCATTATTGTATTGTGTCATGTTGCAATGGCTATGCATGTATACATTTATACATATATACATATATGTATGTGTATATACATATACACACTGCATATCAGAAGACTTAATGAACCCGTGTGCCTTTGAAGGCCCGAAGACGCTTGCCTCGTGCATGCTTCCTTTAGGGTCGCGCCAGCTGTAGCATCCATGTTCTCAGCCATGTTGCAGCGTGGCCTCCATGATCCACAGAATCTGATCCTGAGCTAGAGGCGACAGCAGAAAATGAGTGCCCGGCAACGCTGTGGAGACCTGGCGTCTCAGCCTTTTTGCTTGCACCCAAGCATGCGGTGGCTTGCGGTGTTGGCCTTCCTGCTAGCTGGACGCTGCAACTCCAGGCATCAGATGGGGTTGGCCGCCGCCTCATTGGACGCTAAAGTACTCAGGGTCTCGACATAGTATCAGCTAGGGCAGGATTTTGTATCTACTGAGGTCACCATGCACTCGCCTGAAATTATGTCTTACGCGAACATGACGGCAGCTGGTAATGCCAGATATGCGAAGAGGCACGGCTACGGCTTTCACATCCTCGACCACGTTATCGACCAGTCACGAGTCCCTCACTGGTCGAAGATCCATGCCATTCTGAGCCTGGGCTTCTCGGGGGTTTTCGGAATAGTTTGTTACGAGGTTCATACCGTAGAGGAGTCCGGGTCCTAGTGCCACTAAGGGTGTAGCGGAGGGTCGCTTAGAGTCGGAGGAATTCCGATTCCAACGGCAGCTCTCGCTCTCTCTCTCTCTCTCTCTCTCTCCCTCCCTCCCTCCCTCCCTCCCTCCCTCCCTCCCTCTCTCTCTCTCTCTCTCTCTCCCCTCCCTCCCTCTCTCTCTGTAGGAGGCCAGGGCATGATGCGTTCCGATGACAGAAGCCCAGGATTCACTTGGCAGATTATGACTTCTTGTTTTGGATCGATGCAGATGCAGTGGTGTATGACCAGGCACAGCAGTTGGAGGACGTTTTTGACATCGACTCATATCCCAATGCTCACATCTGGGCACAGGACATCTGGCCAGACTTCCCTGCGATGCAACGGGAGGAGCTAATGGATGGAGCAACGGTCTTGTTTCGAAATAGCCCATGGACACGCCAGTTCCTACTGGAGATGTACCACTTCCCCGAATGTCAGGACTACTTGAATTGGACGGAGCAATACTGCCTCACCGTGGCCTTCAAGCACAACCTCTTAGATGCTAAGTCGAAGATCGTCGTGCTGCCAACCCCTCGCATCAACCACCACCGGATTCCATCTGCCGCGGAAAACCGGAACCTTTTCGTTTTTCATTATGCTGGAAGGTCGTCGATGGCCCGAACTCGGCATTTCAAGCTGCTGCACGAGGGATTCCAAGATGTCTTCCAACAAGATCGATACAAAGACTTTTGGAACTTTCACGAGCTGTTTCGGAGGCACAACTTCGGTGGATTAGCCTCGGTGCAGCTCTGCGTTTTCGGAATTGGGGAGCGACATCAAACCTTCTTGGAAGGTATCCTGTTCCACTTCCCCTACCTCACAGGCTTTATCGTGGTTCTACAAGGAGCTCCAGGCCTCTTTTCCCAGAGTCCTGGCTGTTTTTGTTGGCATATCTTCCCGTCTTCAGGTGCTGTTTCGGGGCTATCTAATCTCGTCTTCATGCTTCTCCTGCCTGTGTGTCTGAAAGGATGAAGAAATCGGACGAGATTGGTGAAATGTTTGGTACGCGCATGGCCGCCATGGACATTCAGGAGTTTCAGCTGGGGCGGACGCGGGATGGGAAGGAGTTTGTAAAGAGCTTCTTCTGTGACCTTCTGCTGGTTGGAGTTGAGAGTTGGAGGCATCTCCCTCAGGGTGCTCCGGCTTTGGTGCCCTTTGTGACGGGAGGATTGGAGCCCTTCTCCGGGAGAAGGGGGACTGGCTTCGGCTACTCTGCTCTCAAGGACGCTTTCTTCATCTTGCTGGACGACGGCTGCGAGGGCCGATCACAGGCTCTGGGTGGCCGGGGTATGACAGCCAGCAAGAGCATGTCCCTTGACAAGGATGATGAGATGGGCAAGGACCTGGCAGCAGCCTGTCTTTTCATGGATTCGCTCCACAATTCCCTCGCGGACGTGATCGGGCAAGCTCGCGAACACAGCGAGCGCTTCCTGAACTCCGACACTGACCTCTTTTCGCCCTTGGCTGCTGAGAAGAGAGAGAAGACGGGTGTCGGGAGCCCACTGATCCGGAGTGAACCCGGCACCTGGGGTTCGAAGATGCTTGGGAAGGTGACGATGTCACGGGTCCCGCGGCTGGCTTTCGTGTGATCACAGTCCTGACTTGCTTTTCCATGCCATTGTGGTGGTGGAGGTGGCCGTGGTGGTGGCGGCAGTTGTGGTGATGTTCCTGGGTACTTTTCTGGCAGCGCCGCCGCCTCCTCACCGGAATCACTGATGACCGCGGATGAGATGAGCGCACGCTGCAAGACCTTCGATCATCGAGATGCGCGGCCCCTGGATTCGATTCCCATCAGTCGACGGCTGCCGTTCTTCCGCGGTGTGACAGTCGGTGATCGATCAGCATTGAGATCCGGCGGTACCAGAGTGATCTCGAAGAGGACGGAGCAACAAAGCAAGATGAAAAAGGTGAACACTCAATGTTTTTCGGGTGTGACAGAAGCAAATGTAGGGTCAGAACGACGACGGATGGGAGTCTTGCTTGCTCATGATGTGTTTCCATGTTCACCTGTCGCCGTAGGATCCGTCAGCCCCGACATTGTAAGGTCCGAGATGACTGAGCCGCAGAAGCAACAGACCGTCGGGAGCTTGGAGCATGCTGCTCGTGGCACAACCAGCAGTTTTGGGGCACAGAGTATGGCGTACGCTCGAATCTTACACGAGGGCTGCTGACTGCCCAATAGCTCAGCAAAGCTGTTTGCTCTGTGTAGTTGTTCTGCCATACACAGTGGAGGAGATTAGTACTGGCAGGACTGATGTCCTGCCAACCTTGTAGATGGACCTTTTTGTAGCAACAAGCTGTATTGTATTGTATCTTGTTGATCCTGAACGTCATTGTGATGCTATGGTATGCTTTGCTGTCGACTAGCTCGACATTGATATAGAGAGTCTCCAAGCGACAGGCGCCTAGCAGTCCTGTGGGTGCAGCGCGAGAATCTCAGGCAGGGACGGTTGAGGGCGAAAGTTCGTGTCATTCCCGAATTTTGCATTAAGATCTTTCAGGCTCCGCATGACGCCCGATTTCTTTGCAGTGCTTTTTTGCAGCATCGTAGCTCCATAGTTTCAGAAGAGACTGCGTCGAGTACTCCGCGGGACCTGGCAGTCTTTGCAGAGGTGACTGCGCCGAGCGCGCCTCCGACAGACACAGAGCGGAGGCCTTGGTCGGAAGCCAGCAGGCTTGTACTATATATGATATATGATATACATATATATATATATATATATATTTGCACACAAACATTATATATATATATACATGTGTATATATATATATATATAGATATGTGGATTATGTGCGCGACGACATTTCCTATAAGTAGGCTAAGGCTGCGGCTGCAGGGTTCAAAGAGACGTGGTCGATGCCCGGTCTCCGAGGCCCCGTCTTGAACAGGATGAGAATCCAATCCTGGAGTGGCGTTCGGATGCCGTGGTGGGTCAGCAGCTGAAGTGAGGGGGGTGCTTGGAGGATCATGGGACTTAGTAATTAAGGTTATAAGTACCTTAATTAATTATTCGGGGTTATAAGTATAGTTGCCCTAATTTTAACCCTAGTTACTATGTCCCATGATCCTTTCATTGGTGTTGTCTTTCTGCGTTTCGACCAAAAGGGTGGATCGACCAGCGATACGTCTTTCCATGCTGATGCCTTCGAGGTTCAGCCACCGCCAGCTGAAGTTCAGGTGTACAGTATAGAGATCTAGACAGTATAGGCTTTACAGCATCGCAAGTCCGGCAAGGGCCTTCTTGAACTTTCAGGAAGGATACTGCGGAGGGCAGGGGGAGCCCTGAGCTGCCGACCCTCGCCCTCCCTGCTGCGCTTGCGATGGTTCCGTGCTAGGACCAAGGCGGCTGCAAAGTCTGCCGCATAGAGATTATTGTCAGAGAAAGTATCCCGAGAAGCCCCACTTATAATCTCTAAAGGCTCAATAAGGCTACCAGAATAGTCTATGGCATATGCTATGGTATATATAGGTATGTGACATACTTCCATTTTTTTCAGCAGTCTTCGCCTCCTTCCGGGAGAGCTCTGACTCTGGCAAGTGCTTGTAAGGGTATTGCCAGTCGTGGTCTGGCCACCAGAGCCGGTCCTGCAGGGGTTGCCGCAAAAAGCGGCCATCTTTTTCCCAAGTTGAGGACAGAGGAGCAGGGCTTCGTCTGGAATGCCCCCGCAAAAACACATTTTGGGATGGGATCGCATCAATACGACTTCTTGATGTTATCATGTCCTGAAGACGGGATTTTGTTGATGCCGTGCAAGTTGCAACTCTCGTGTCCTTTGTTTGAAACCTGGCAAGCTTGCTCTCGTCTCAACCGTATCCCTGCTGCTCCTGCAGCATAATTTGTTTTCTGACGATTTCTGCTACACCAGCTTGCACCAGAATTATGTACTCCGCGGCGAGATGTAAAACGTAAAGTGGTCAACATCTCGCAGAAAGACCGAGTTGCAGACGTGCCTCTCCATTCGCTCCGTGCAGTTCAGCTGCCACTTTTGAGCAAGACTGCTTGTACAGTGGCCGAGCCCATGTTTATGGGAAACCGCAAGGCGAATCGCAGGGATGCTGCTGTGCTTGAGTCCTTTCTAGTCTTTTACATCGGAAAAACACTGGGCTTCGCCATTCCTGGCATCAGGGCTGATGCTGCGAGCGTTTGGTTTTGGTTCGTGTGTGCAGCTGGCTGATCCATGGGGCAAAGGGACGGACGAGGAGACTAACTTCGTATTCATGCACGCGGAAGCTATGGTGTATGGTGCCAATCAGTTTCTTGCAGCATTGTTGCATATCTCAGGACAAACACCGTACTTATTCCTGTGGTTCTTGAGATGTTTTGGTCGTGGGTGCTTGTAGTCAAGTTTAAGTCTAGTCGGCCGAAATGATTTGTCATTCTTGTTATGATAGAAACGCAAGGCGTTCTTAAGAGACTTTTTGGGATCCAAGAACCCACGGGGCTTATGGTCTTCCCACGTGCAAAGTTCTTCCTGAAGTGATGTGATTTGACCTCGGCACCATGGAGACGTACAGCGCGCAGTATTAGAGCTTGTTTTCAATGGAGATGATGCAGGTTTCAGTCCTTGAAGCTTGCTTCCGGCCTATGACAGTATAGTCCATGGAGGCAAAAGCATTGAGCAAACTTCGGTTCCGCTAAGAACAACAGGCGCTAGTGCCTCTCAGCTGGAAGCTTGTGTCAAGTCAGGCATTTGTCAGTAAGGTGATTGTTTGTGCTCCACAGAAAGACACCAGCTTGATTCTGCCAACAGTTGACGGACGACTGACAAGTGCCCCAGCCACGCCTGCTTAGGCCCCCTTCCGGCCAAGGGCAGCAGCATAGGCTGCGTTGTCTCACTCGACCCGTGCTCCCCCCGAAGGGGGCTCACCGTTAGGATCGAGAAGTGGCCGTGGGACACACGGGACTCCGTGGTCGACTGTCCGCTTTGAAGCGGCGACGAGCAGAAAGCGAAGGAGCGCAGTTCAACATCCACGGGAGACCCGCGTGCCTACTCTGGAAAACGCCCCGTTCCTGAAGGGATGATGGGGTGGAGGATGTCTGAATGACTCGCTTTTCCCCATCATCCTTTCGTTTAGAACCCAAGCTCTGAGGGCAGGCCGGCAGAGCCCGTCCATACGAAGCAGGGCCCGGGGCCTAAAGTTTCTAAAAGTCCTAGAAAGTTTGAAAAAAATCTGCTGGCTACTTGGAAACTGAGGCGCCGAGAGCAGACTGCAACATTGTGGACGGACTGGTGCTGGCTGCTTGGCCTGCACACGAAAGCGAAAGGCCAGAAGCATTGCGTCTCATAGCTGAAAGTCTGGAACCAAGGAACCCCCGACAAAGGGCAGGCGAAGGAAAGCAAAACAGTTTCACTGAATGACCGTGCTGGTGTCTTGTGCTGTGCTTCCTTGCTATAGGTCTCAGCGTATTAAGGACAGAGATCCCAAAAAGCACGCCAACTGCACACGTACGCCCGTATCCTCAGCTGTTTGGCTCTTTGCAGACTTGCTCTGCAAGCCCCCTCTTGTCGCCGCGTGCATTCTCTCCGTTCCATCCTCAGCCCAGGTAGCTCCAAGATAGTGAGAGAAAGGGATGGGAATGCGCGCTTAGCGCGAAACTGGCAAAGCGACCTCCTGGCAATGCCCCGCATGATCATCGGTTTTCCTTCTGTGCTGCTGAGGTTACCTCTTGTCAGCCATGTCCGCTCTCAACGTCGAGCTTGCTTTGTGCCCTGGCTATATTGCTCACGGTCTGCAGGACTGGAGGATAGTCCTTGGCATCTTGCATTCTTTGCACACAGATTTGGCCTTGCAATCTATGTGAGGTCTCATCAGTGCGGCGCCGTGGTGTTGGAGAGCGACATGCACAGCCGAAGTAGTAGCACCTTGCCGGCATGGCACGTTCTGCTGTTGGCTCTAAGAGTCGTCGGACCACTCGTCGGACCACGGAACCTTGGCAGTTTGGACTGTCTGGTCTGAAACCCAGATCGTAGACTTCAGGTACATGCATTGTGGGATGGTGGGACCAAAGCCAGGATGTCAGTTAGTCCGTTAAGGGCAAGCTCTCGATCCGGGCACCGTACCTCAAGCAGAACTGGGGCTCTGAAGACCTTGTGTTGCGACTTATGGACGGATGTGCAATTGGGCATTTAGTTCACTGGCATGTCAATGTACTTGCGTCGAGAAGCAACGAGGGAGTCGAGAACCATATTCCGGCACGGAAATGCCAGGTGTCTAATGTTGGTTGTTGAACCTCAAGACATTTTCCATCTGCATTGCTTGCAGGCAGTCGAAGTAGTAGCAGCAGCGGGATGCTCAGCTGGGACCTGCAATTGCAGAAGCACATGTTTCTTTCATGCAAGAATGCCGCAGCCACAGCTGTTGCAACGTGACCAGGATGAATAAGACTTCACCTAATGGCCGGACGACTTGGGACCCCGAGCTCCTAACCGACTTTGCAAGTGCAAGTCCCATCATAGTAGACTTCTGACCAATACCTTCCTTGTACTACAGTATCAGTAGCCAAATCAAATTTGCCTTTGCTCTGTACCAGCATTTTCGCGACTGCTGTTGCTGCACGCGCACGCCAGCATCCCCTAGTGGCACTCGGTCACCATTTTGGAGCATAAGATGGGCATGAGGAACCGGCAACAAATTGTAGCTGGATCAACATTGAGCCCAAGACACCGATCAAAATGGGGGTGGCGGGGTGGGGTAGGGGGAGGGGCGGGAGGCGTTGGGGTAGGGCCGGGTAGGGCAGGCGCAGGGGGAGCGGCAGCAGGAGGCGGGAAGGGTGCTATTTGGTTGTGCATCGTTCTCGTTGCCAGTATCACTATCAACAATTTGGTCAGCTCTTCTCCAAGCCGCCCCCCACGACTTGGCCTTTAGCGTTGCGGCAGTGCTGTGACCCTCCGCATCTTTGTCAAGGTCGGAGTAGTAGCAGTTGCTGACTGCATACTCCGACATGGCAGACACCACGGGTGCCAGGATCCCAGCCTTGAAGCCCGGACCGTGGGCCCTGCGAGAAATGTCTGAAGCTCGAGGTTGACATGCCGAACTCAGCCCCGCAGCCAGCTCGAGCCCCGGCAGCGGGATCACGAAAGCGCGGTCTTTTCCCTGGCGCAGCAAGCAAGCCTGAAGCTCCCTCAAGGTGTCCAGGGGTTTCTTTCGAACTGTCTCAATGCTGACTGTTGTTGACGGTGTTCAGGCAACAGGCTTCACGACAACCTTCTGACATGAAGGGCAACAAAAAGCAAACTTCAGAACAGCAGCCGACTGGCAGGAGAAGCCGGCTCGAAGGGAATTGAAATCTAAGTCCAACATTATCTTCGTGCTGACACACTGCTGCGCTGCTTGTTTTCAGGCCCGCCCCTTCCGCAAACAGGGGCTGCAGCAGGGACTGCACGGGCCCTGGACTGTATCCCAGTATTTCGAACGCGAGGACTTTGACGGCGCTGGCAGTTTCGCCAGGGCTAGGCGATGATTCTCAGCCTGGGGCAAACTGAATGGCCTGCGCTCTAAGACTATAAGATCCATGCTGCTGAGGGGAGGTGAGCTGTCGTCTCCTTTTTCAAACCTGATGTAGTGGCAACACTAAACCCCCCTCAACCCTAAATCCATGACCCTGAACCAAAGAGGCCTCTTAAAGCCCTGTTGTTTCGGGGGATCCTTGTTATAAGTATAGCAAACAAAAATGTCCCTAAGCCAGAGCCCAGGACCCGCCTGCAGCTGCTCTTGGCCCGGCTTCCTCAAGAGCACCGTCCAGAGCCAAGAACAGGAGCTGGGAGCTAGGGGTTTGGGGTTTAGGGGTTAAAGCTTCAAGGCTTAGGGTTGAAGACTTATTTAGGGTTTAGGGTTTAACAATTAAGGGTTTAGGGTTTAAAACTTTCGGGTTAAGGATTGAAGCTGGGAGGGGTTGCACTAAGCGTTTCTTGGGCTACTCTTGGGGTTTATCGCTGTGAGGGCCTTTGACTAGGCTTCAATGGCTGCTTCGCGTGAAGCGGGGGTTTAGCGTTTGGGGTTTAGGATCGAGGTTTCTCTTGCGGTGTTACGAGTAGGCCAGGAATTTCAACGATTGTTTGGGTTTAGGTTTATAAATTCGGGGTTTGGGTTTTTGATCAAAGTACCGGCCGAGTGCTGACCCTAATACCTTTGAGGTCCAGGTATAAAAGCAAGAAGTTATCAAGAAGGGTCGCGCTGTGTTCAGTAGTGGTGGCAACAGCACCTGTGATCATAGTCGTCGCGGGTCGGGACAAGGAGAGTCCTGTTTTGTCGTCGCCACCATCCCACCCACCATCCCACCATCCCACCATCCCACCATCCCACCATCCCACCATCCCACCATCCCACCATCCCACCATCCCACCATCCCGCCATCCCACCGCACCATCCCAGACCATCCCAGACCATCCCAGACCATCCCATCATCCCATCGTCCCATCATCCCATCATCCCACCATCCCACCTTCCCACCATCCCACCATCCCACCACCAGCACCACCATCATCGCGATCATCATCATCATCATTATCATCATCATCATCATCATCATCATTGTCGTCATCGTTTTCATGTTCGTCATAGTCGTTGTCGAAGCCGTCATCACCACGAACATCATCGCCAACAACACCTCCGTCATCATTACAAAAACCCATTACGTCATCATCTTCATCGTTCTCCTCCTCCTCCTCCCTCCTCCTCCCCCTCCCCCTCATCACCATCATCATCATCATCATCATCATCATCATGACTATCATTACCAACATCATCCTCCCATCATCACCATCCTCATCATCGTCCTCCTGCTCCTGCTCATCCTCCTCCGCCTCATCATCATCGTCATCATCGTCCACGTCCATATCCTGATCTACGTTTGCTCCGCATCGTCATCATCATCATCATCGTCATCACCATCATCATCATCATCATCACCAACATCATTGTCATCATCAGCCTCAGCATCATTAGCATCATCACCGCCATCATCATCATCATCGTCATCATCATCATCACCACCATCATCATCATCATCGTCATCACCATCATCATCATCGTCATCACCACCGTCACCATCACCATCCTCATTCTCTTGATGATCAACATCATCGTTATCCTCCTCATCACTACCATCACCACCGCTGTCGTCATCATCTTCCCCATTCTCACGGTCAGCATCATCCTCATGTTTATCCTACTCCTCATCGTCATCGTCATAGTCACCATCATCATCACCATCATCATCATCATCATAGTCGTCAGAGTTATCAACCTCGTCGTCATCATCATGGTGATGACCATCTCGGGTTTCCATCATCTTCATCATGCTCAGCCTTATCATAGTGATGATGATTATGATGATGATGGTCAGAATCATTGTCAGCACCGTCATCGTCATCATCACCATCACAACCATAATCCCTTTTGTAGCGCCCCCCGTTCGTCTTCTTGAGATCTCTTCCGGCAGCATGTGTGTGACTTCGTGACGGTACGGGACGGATTCTCGGCCAAGGTCTTCAAGCCTTGCAGTTTCTCTCAGAGACACTGCGCCGCTCCTTGCTGAGACACGGCCGCAGCAAGAACTAGCTGTAGCAGCTTCAAAGATTCCTCAGGCTTTTGCAGGCTGCCTGTGATTGCTCTCAGCTTTTCGGGTAGATTTGTGTGTCCTATGTTGCTGCTTAGCTTTGGCTTCGCCGAGGAAGCATATGGAGCTGCAGCACGTGCAGGGCTGGAGGCATGACGTGTTCTCCGTGCAGGGTTTCAGTTTGGCAAGCAAGGTGTCTTCCCTAGCTAGCGACGCACAGGAGTCAGAATGACCGGAAGCGCAAGCGTGACAAATCAGTGAGGGAGCCTCTCGGCGGGATATTGATTGGACTCGTTAGGTTGCAGGTGAGGGTGCCCTTTGCCTGTAGCAGATCTGAATCTGCCCGTGTCTGAAATTCTGCATTGCGATTAACTGAACTCGCATGCGATTGACCCCGCACATAGAATCTTGTATCATGACATCAATGCCAAGCGGTGATATTCAAGCACTGCTCTATATAGATATTGCGCTCAAACCTAGGCGAGAGTTTAGGCTTCGCGGTCTTTCTTGGTCGGTCCGCTAATTAGTCGGTTAGGATGCTGGTGGGTTCCGCAGATATCATCGTTATCCTGTTAGTCTTGCTGTGGTCGATTGGTCGCTGCATCTGCGTTGCCGATGCTGCATCAATATTTGTATGAGCTCGCTTGTTTAATTTGCTTTGCTGTACTCTTGCGGTGCCGTGGCAGAGGATTTACTTTTTTCGTTATGTCTGCAACACTGCACGAACTAGTTACCAGTTCTAGTTCCAGTCTGGCAGGGTCAGCCCTGGGTATAAGGGAAGTCGGCATAAGGCCTCGCCCTGCAAAGAAGCGGAGTGCGAGAAGCCTGCTGACGTTCACCAAGGACGACGGGGGAAGGGGCGGTGCTTTGAATTCCGAAAATAGGGGTACCTTATTTTATGGGGTTCCTTATGATAAGGGTCCTACTATCTGGGGTACTCTATTAGGATCCCCTATTTTCGGAAACTCCCCCTTTTGGTGTTCGGAGAAGGAATGGAAGCGAACCGCGCAGTTGATTTGAAAGACTTGTACAGGGCTGCAAAAGCAACCTGCGGCTTGGAAGTCTTTCCTAGGAATCCAGGGCTGCGAAAAGCTTTTGATACCCATGTTGTTTTGAAGGATGGTTGCGATGATTAGGGTGTCCAAACTACGGCTTGGGCCCACCCCTGTGCGAGCATCACTAGTCGTTGTGGTCGCGTAGTCGTAGTGTTAGTGGCAGTCGTCGCGGTGGTGGTGACGGTGGTGGTGGCGGCGGTGGTGGTGGTAGTAGTAGCAGCCGTAGTCGCAGTCGTCGTCGTTGTACTGGTAGGAGTAGTGGTGATTCTCAGCGGTAATTACTGGCAGGCTCAGCTACCACGGCTCAATCGCTCTAGCCGCTCAGTGCCCTGACGGCGTTGTTATTGGTGGAGAGTAGAGCGGTTATGCACAGCAAGAAGATCCTACTTTGCGCGTGGGACTGCCGGGCTATCCTGAATCAACCCAACACGCTGGTTCTTGGGGGGTAAACAACGCCAAAGTCTGCGTCTTCAGCTCGTACGGTGCTCAGAAGACTTTCGACAGTTGGTAGTAAGGGGGCTGTTGCCTCAGCTGATTCCAAAGAATAATGGTAGGACCTCCACAGAACTGCTCAGAGGCCACTGCTTCGTATCGCTTAGTTTGCTAGGCTTGGACACAGCATCTTGAGAGGAGAAGCAGAAGTCTGGCCCCGGCCGTAGAGACCTCAGTGCCTGTGTGGGCTTCAGGCTTCAGGAGTTCGGAGAAGATCTGCAGAGCCGGGAGAGGGGCACCACAGCCGAAGCGTTACTTACGTGGCAAGTGGAGGAGCACGGTGAAACGGCTCAACCCCAGAAGAACCCTTGAGCCACAGACAGCTCTCAAACCCGAAGCCGCTCACAACCTTCTGGAAGCGCCGCTCAACTGCCTCCTTCCTCCGAGTTGCTCCAGGTGGAATCTGCATCATGAGATCCGGGAATGGGGTCCGCGTCTGCTTCTCGACGCAGCGATTCTGTTTGATTGTGGCCACGGGAATGAACTTGGTTTGAGCCTCCATGTCACCGCCCCTAAACCCTAAACCCTAAATCCCTTAAACCCCTACACCCCAAATTCCTAAACCCTAACCCCTAAACCTCAAACCCAATCGGAGGCTATTTTGCCAGGGCCATCATCGCCGGCATTGCGATCTCCTCACACTGTGCCTCTCGGCTCGGGCGGACGTATGACCTGCTGCAACCGTAGGTCGTAGAGCTGAAGCACCGAATTCCTCGAAGATCCCCCAACACTGTAGTGAACCCAAGCCCCGAAGCCGTACACCTCGCACCCTAAACCTCAAAAGCCATGTTGAACCTCCTGGCCTGTGGTGCACAACAGGTTCGCGGCGAAGAAGAGGCCAAAGCTCTGAGGGACTTCTTGGACAAGGCCCATCTTTCTTCACCGCTCTGCTTTGGGATTTCGGTTTTTCGGGAGCTACAATAGGGGCCTAAATAAATACCAATACCAGTTCTATTTTGGGGGCGCCTTATTACAAACATAGCATAATGGGCCCGCGAACCCTATTCATTCTATTGCTGAGGCACCTATATTAGGGTTTTGGAGTTCAGGCTTTCGGGCTTTGTGGGTGGATTTGGCTCTCCCTACATGTAGCTCCCCGACATGAACACCACTTCGGCCTCAAAACCCAGCAATATCTATGAGTCTCAGAAGGTTCAGGGCTTATGACAGAACTTTCCGAAGCTATACTTGAGCTAAGAATGATCATAGAATTAAGAGTAGGTGTCGGATACTGGGAGTGGCAGGTGTCTTCTTCGCGCTGGCAGAGCTTGGTGGAGCCGGACGCAGGAGGTCTCCAGCTCAGGGTGTTCAGGGTTCAAAGGACTCTCAACTGTTTTTCCTCACGTGTGACCAGAAAGCCCAGCTTAAGCCGAGACCAGAACCCCCAAACTTCACCACCACAACCTCAATCCTAGGTCCTGATGAAGCCCAAAACCCGAAACCCTACACTAAATCCTAAACCTTAAACCCTAAACCCCCTGAAGCCTTCCTTCGACTCGAAACTCCGCAACCCGCCCAAAAGCCAGCGCCCGAACGACCTGGCTCCAAGGGTTTGGGCTCCTGCCGGCCTTCGAAGGCCCCTGCCAGGCACCGCGGGTTCAAGGTTTTTCGGTGTCAGGGTCTTGCGTTTAGAGGTGTTAGGAGGTTGCAGGCTTTCGGGCTTATACAGCCTAAGATTTCAGGGGTTTGGGGCTTTTAGCATCTTGGGAAAGGGATTTAGGCCTGTAGGCTGCTCAGCTTAGGGTTTACGGTTTTGCGTTGTGTGGAGAAGTAAGGATGCAGATCTTCTTTGTAGAAGCTCGTGAAGTCAGAAGGGTATTGGCAGGGTTGCGCCCGAGGCAGGCCCTTGCTTGTGCAAACTTCTCTGCCCAAGAAGTTGTGGATGTTTTGCTGCCATTAGTGGAGAAGTCCAGCTTCGCTCTTGTTGACGACTTGTGAAGCGTGAACTGTAGTGGGCCGACTGTTGTACGCTCGACTTCGTCAAGACAGTAGTCATAGCACGAAAGTCTCGCCATCGGGACGATTGTCTGCCAGGAAGCCCCTCGCCTGTGGCGCTTCCGCGCAACTGTCGACGCACGCCGTTGGGTGGGCCGGGTGCACAGAGATCCGGGAGCGCGAGCACGACAGTGCTGAGCCAATGTCCAAACAAGCATTTGGGAGCGCGGCACAGAGTTGCAGTGCTTCTGTGTAGCACCCTTAACCGCAAATTATGAACTAAAGCCCTAGACCCTGAAGCCCGCCAGGAGCGCCAGTAGTAGCAATGAGGCAGGAAGCTGAAACCTTAAGCTCTAACCTCCCAACCGCAGACCTTGAACCCTAGACCCCCAGCCCAAAGCAAGGCGGAGCGGGAGCGGAGCCGGGGTTTCCGAGATTCGATCCCTTTTGGGACTCTGAGGTCGCACCTTGAGCTCCCGGCAGGTGGCTTCGCTGGGGGAGGCTCCGGGCTGTACTTTTTGGGGGCCTGAATAACTACCGATACTATTTTGGGGGCCTCCGGATCATACTTACGGTATCCTGGGCCCTATAAAAATGGTGGTCGAGGAGTTCGGGAGTTTCGGGTTTTGGGTTCGAGGCTTGCAGAAAGTCTTCAGACAAGCTCTGAAAACAACCAATGTAACAAGAGCCGCAGGGTGTACTATAGGGGCCTAAATAACTACCTATACTATTTATTTTGGGGCCCCCTTTTTGTAACATATCCCAACACCCTATTCTAATTATTCAGGCCCCTATATTAGATGTATCGACACCATGGCCCATGGCTCGGCCTATCTTGGTGCCGTTTCAGGTCGGAGTCTAGAGTAGGTTTGAGCCCTCTCCATAGTGCATAAGCACGATGCTATGTGAAGTCTGAGCCGCCGCTTTCGCAGGAATGCCGGCTTGACTCAGGTCTTTCGGAAGCCATATCATATTCGCAAGGCTTTGTTGTCGGTGTGTCTGTTTGTTCGCGGCCGCTATCACAGGTTTGCCAGGCAGAGAATTACACTTCTTTCGCAGCCGTATATTTGCTTGAGTTGGGACGATGTCATCTGCCTGACAAAAGCTGGCTCACCAAGAGACATGGGAACTAACTCAGCATCCGGCATGTCGACGCCGTATCAGATGAGCCGCATCCCCAAGGGCATTGGTTTCTGTCACATGTTATGCTTGTCAGTGGTCCCGAACTCTTGCTTACAATTGTTATTTTGGGCCACCCTGAACTTGTGTAGACCGAGCACTGCAAAACCAAGCTGGCCTAACGTGTCGTGCAATACTTAAACTTAAGACTGTTTTGACTCCGCTTGGAGTGCTTGGCATGCTGCTGATGTCGCGCAGCAGCAAGCGCCACAAAACCGAGCCGGAGCATCCATCGGAGAGTCTTGGGCAGGAGCGCTTTCTGGGACAGGGCTACATAGCCTTCTCAGAGGACCCTTGTAGAGCCCACAGAGTAGCCTCACAATACTCTTATGGTGACCTTATCTAGCTGGAGGGCCGAAGCATAGAGGCGTACTGTACCGTTGAGAAGCGTCATTCGGCAGCTGCACCTCAGATGTCATTTGGCTGTTCAAGGGCGCCAACGTGCCGCAGAGCTGTTGCTGAAACTGTTCATCCATTTTCCAAGCTTTCTCATGGTGACTGTTCTTGTATATCCCGAGATACAGAGTTCAACGGAAGCACAATTACGAGTGTAAGTATGCCTGTCATTTGTAAGCTTTTTTGAGCATCATCTCATCATCATCAGCACTATCATCAGCTCCATCATCTTCAGTGCTTCCGTGGCATTACCCTTATCAACATCATCATTCTCATTGTCATCGCCATTTTCATTGTCTTTCCAGTAGTCATCAGTGTCACCATTATCACTATCAGCTTCAAGCTTCAGTCAGTCGTGACATGGGCGAGAACGCCTTGCCCGGTTCCAGGCCTTTGTAAGAAGAATATGAAAAGAGTAGGAATAATAAGAACTGTATTAGTAGCAATAGTAATACTCGTAATGCTTATGACTGCGAGCAAAAAAGGGTGATGATGCTTCGGACAGGAACCCTTTCAATTGAAGGAACCCTAAACCCCAAGCTATATCACACCCTATAATATCCCTAAGGAACCCCTGAAGGAATCTTGGGCCCCTAGGCTTTCGGGTTTAGGAAGCTGAGGACCCCTTCATATAGGGGCCTAGAAAATTACTTATGCTATTACTATTTTGGGGGGTTCCTGATTATAATTAGTGGGCCCCAAAACCTTGTTCTAATCCTTAAGGCCCCTCTATTAGAGCACCCTTATAGTAAGCCCTTTAAAGGAGCCCTATGAAACCCGATTCTAAGTCTTAAGGCCCCTATACTATGCCGCTGATGGCAGCCTCGGCAGGCTTGGATACGCCGCGCCAGGAGCGAGCATGTCATTGCCGCCGAGGATGAGGTGCTGAGGGTGGGGGTTTAGGGTTTAGGGTTTAGTGGGTGAGGTTGGGAACAGACAGGTGCAAAGGACCGTCGAAATATGAAGGGATGTCGTCTTTTCGTAGATTTGCTAGTCCTTTCTTATCCTAGCTAGTCAGCTAGACAGCTTGCTATCCTGGATCTAGCTCGAGCTTCAAGGATGTAGGATGGACCCACCATCCGTACAAGAGGCCTCGCTTCGTAAGCATAGACCGCAATGGTAATTGTGGTAATCGTAGCAAGAACAGGCTCAGAAGTCGGAATAGTAGCAATCGTCATCACCGTCGCCATCATTGTCATCATCATCACCACCACCACCACCATCATCATCATCATCATCAGCCAGTATCTTCATCGCCGTCGTCATCGTCATGAACATCACTGTCACCGTTTCGATTCATCCTACACCACTTTTCGCACTAATGTTTCCCGCGAGCTTGCAGCAATGTTGAGCTGTTGGGATACTCGAGCTGCTCGGATGTCGTTGAGTTGATGGTCTCGATTTCGCAGCAAGAAGATCGCGTAGAGGTCGTTCCGGCCCATGTGCAGGCCTGCCGCCACCACACTCACCGCCAAAGCGTGGATCCAGAATTTCTGGAGGAGCTAAAAAGAAGGCAAGCCCGCAAAGAAGCGGCTTTCATGCCTCAACCTGCCCATGTGCAGGCATGCTGCGTAATGCCATCGAAGCAGTAGGCATGCTTGTCTTCCCACAAGCCTTTGCCTCCATGTCCTGAAGGCGGGAAGAATACAAAAAGAAGAAGGCAGCTGCAGCCCGGCAGAAAGTTGACCCAACACACTTTTCATGACGTTCACACTTTTCTTTGAGAACGGGTGCTGTCGGTCCCTGAGCGAACAGCCACAGACAACCCCTTCATTGCCCCCCTACTTAAAGGATCATGGGACTTAGTATCTAGGGTTATAATTAGGGTAGCTATGCTTAACCTCAGTTAAAGTACTTATAATCGTACTTACTAAGTCCCATGTTCCTCCAAGCACCCCCAAGTAACCCCTTCATTGGTATATACATATATATATATATATGTATATATATATATATATATATACCCCAAGTAAAACCAAGCTAAGAGGCCGACCAGAGCAAAGTGCTCAGCTTGGAGCAGATTGCGGAGGTCTTCGGCCCTGAGGCAGAAGAGTAAAGGGATCTGGGAGTTTCCGAAATTAGGGGTACCTTATTTTGGGGGTCCTTCCAATAAGGATCCTACTATTTAGGGTACTATATTAGGGTCCCCTATTTTCGGAAACTCCCATCTGACTCCTTGGCCTTGCAATCTGGCTCTTGACTCTGGGCTTCCTGCGTGTAGGCATGCATTGCTTTTCGCGCGTTCTGCTGATGTGTTATGTTATGTTTGGAAATGCTAAGTATGCGCGTGCATAGGTAAGATTGTGCGTAGTAAGCATTTAAAGTTTGTAGTTGCCAGTATGTATAATTTCATGAAGTGTCATATAGCGCATGTAATGTAAAGCATGTAATGTATGTGCGAACGATCTTTCTGCAACGACGGATTTGTGTATGAACTCCTTGGAGCCTTCGCCTGCATGCTCATCTTAAAGGCCCATGCCTGCATGTCTCTCCACGGCAGCTGTGTTACAAGCCCTTGCTCGTCAAGAGCTGCAGTTGAGCATATGTTTAATCAGCATGTAAACTGGAATCTGCAGGTATGTGTGCCGCGTCCCCTTCTGTATTGATGTTTTTACACTTAAGACCTATAAAAACACCCAAAACCCAAAACCCTAAACCTTAAACCCCAAAACCCAAAACCCTAAGCCATTCGATGGGATCGTGGAACACCTTCGACTGCAGGGCTCCTTTGCTGTCCGTGGGGAGCCCCCGACGGATGGCTGGCGATTCTGCGGCAGCCAGCAAAAGATTCAGGGCCTTAGGGTTGAGGGTTTTGGGGTTTAGGGTTTAGGATTTGGGGTTTTAGGGTTTGGGGTTTTAGGGTTAGAGGGTTTTAGGGTTCAGGGGTTTAGGGGTTTAGTGTTTAGGGTTCAGTGATTCAGGGCCTTCGGCGGTTGTAGGGTCTCTTGCTTAGAACGTCTGGCGTCTGTATAGGGCATACTCGGATGAAGGTATTCCAGCTCTTCGGTTGGATGCCTGCGTCGGGCCCGATTCCATCTTGATGGGAGTCATGAGTCTCTTCACCATCTGGCAGAAAGCCTGTCCGAAGTTCATGGGGGGAAACGAAATTGGAGCCATGCTTATATTTGCAAGGTCTCTTAGCCCTGAACCCAATGTGCTTCGCGACCCCGAGTGCCTAAGTCCGAGCCTTCCTACTAGCAGGGGCTCCGCATGCTTTCAGAGTCTCGAGCACTCTCTCAACCAAACAAGCTACATGTTCACCTGCTGGCAGTACCAGGCCGCCAATCCAAAAGCCACAGCCGCCAAAATCAACAGATGGGTAGTTCTCAAAATTTCCCTTTTTGGGTCCCTAATTTTGTACGGCACCTAATATTTAGGGTACCCAAAAAGGGGCCATAATTTTGACCACCCATTTTGCTCTTGTTGATTGGCCAAAGCACGGTGGGAGAACAAAAGAAGCCTAAACCCGACAAGCTCAAGGCAACGGCTCTTTCAGGTCAAGCTGTACAGCGCACCCTTTTCGTAGACACGTATGAACCCAAAATCCTAAACCCCAGGCCCCGAAACATCACAAAACCCACCCAAAAGAAGTCCTGAGCCAAAAGGCCGAGACACCGAAGCCACAAGCCCAAAAGCCTGATCCCCGAAGCCCGAAGCCCCACTGCAGATCACCAGGATCTTCAGCGCCTACGAGGATCCCTACACCGAGCGAGCCTGGAGTTTTCTACCCGAAGATGGTGGCAGCCTTCATCAGGCAAAGAGGGGCTGTTGAAGCTCTCTTTGGGGAGTTCCGACCATAGTCTTATAAGATCTTTTGTGTGTGTGTGTGTGTGAGTATGTACATATACATATATCCGGTATACATACACCTTTGTAATGGTATGTCTAGCAGGAGAGATTGTATTTGTAGATCAAGGTTTACGGAGCGGGCGCAAGTTTCGGATTTTGGGCTTCAGAGGCCTTCATGTTGCGCTGGAAGGAATGCTGACTTGTAGTATCAGAAGCCCAAATCGGAGTTTCCGACAACAGGCGACCCTAAAAAAGGATCCCCCAAAATCAGGTACCCCTAATTTTCGCAAACTCCCCAAAATCTGAAGGAGGGTGTCTGCAACGAGAGCACCTTGGCCAAGACCTGGGGAATCGCCGTCGCCAGCTGCAAGGGCTGTAAGTCGCCAAGCGACACCACCGTCGGCCAGGAAACGCCGGGTGGTTCGGTTAGGGTTTAGGGTTTAGAGTTTAGGGTTCGGGTCGGGACACCCAAGATGTGCAGATTCGCAGATACATGAGTTTTTTCAAGCCTGGGGCTAGACTTGATCCGCGGCAGTGCCACGAAACGGACGGGAGGGAGATCATCTCGTCCTTGGCAGGACTTAGTATCTGTGTGTACATGTCACTTTGCAGGACAACTTCGCAGTGGCCCAGCTGCTGCTTGGACCGATTTCTTCGGCAGAGCTGTACAATGTACACACCCTTCCGCAAGAAAATTGTCGGATCGCTTTTGCAAAGCACCAGCGATGCACCTAGCGAGGTGCTAGCATTCACTTACTGGAACTAGCTGAGGTCCTGCGGCTGGAAAGCACTTTGTGTCTTTGATGGACATGGCCACAATGGCCACTGGCCTGCCCTGCGTGCTGCACAGACGATGCCGTATTTCCTCCAGCAGGCCCGTTACGAATCCCTCAGAGAGCAATTGCAGACCCGCTATAGACCGCTTTGAGCAGAACTTTCGATGAGACATCCAATCATCCTCCCGATAGTTGGGGCAATTCATGGGGACAGGACGATTTCGCAGCTTCTCCGATTGTTCAAGCATGGTCAGGGCAAGACGAAGAGAATACCGTCAGTTTCAAGTGCAGATGTGCAGTGCGTGCGGTTCTGGGTGTTCGTCGATTACACAGATGCGGAACAGAGACATATGCATATGCATCGGCAAAATATGCACATGCATATGAAAAAATATACGTGTGCATATCTAAGTGTTACGGTTCTTGACGCATTCCCTTTGCAAAAGACTTGGCGGGCACCAGAAAGTTTTCGCCTCCGGAACCATGCCAAAGACCCACAAACTCCTTTGAACAGATGCTGCGAGCCTGACCTTGTAGACAACACCCTCAACCCATCACACCCCGAACCCTGAACCCAAAGTACTCTGAACCCTAGACCCAAACACTCTGAACCCAAAACCCCAAATACCCAACCATAAACCCTAAACAGCCAAACACTTGAAGGGTGTTTCAACCGGAGGCACCCTGCTCGGATGCCCTGAAGTGCGGGCAAGTCGCGGCGGCCTTGACCTCTGCGTTTCGCAGTGTACAGGAGGAGATGGAGGCCGGTCCGATTAAAATAAGAAGCTCGAATAATTAGGAATATAGGGGCTTTAAAAATTAATTACCTGTACTATTTTGGGGGGGTTCCTTATTATAATTATAGGTGACGACGCCTGGTGTGCGTCCTGTACGTCCTCTCGCATATCTGGGGTTGGGGGGTGGGGGGCTAATTCCGGCCAGTCCCGGCCCTTAACTCCCAGAACTGCGGACTTCTGTCGCAGGCAGGCCCAAGCTCTAGTTCTGATCGAAGCCATGTTTCCTTAGGGTCACATGCCGAACACACCGGTAATTACGGTGTGTTCGGCACTTGCTACAACCCACGTCGCCCAAACCATCCATTGGTGGTCCATGTTATTGACGCAGAGCATCCATGGGTCAACCTTTTTTTAATTACTATATAATGGGCAAAACCCCACTCTAACTATTAAGGCCCCTACAGTGGTTGTCTGACTTCTTCCTTTTGTACTCAGTTCTAATGATGAAGGGACTCCATGAGGAGAAGGGCTCCGCCCAGCAGTCAATTTGTTGCAGGGGCACAGTTTGAAATATATTCGGGATATGGAGCGTGGCTTTGCCAGGTTAACTTCGAGTCTGTAGCACGCTGTATGACACGACGGTATCACAATAGATTTAGCAACACAAGGGAGGATGGCGGGGTCGGCTGTATGCCCCGACGTACGAGCGCTCCCCTTGTGCTTTGTCAAGACCCAGCTGCAACTTCGAAGCCCTCAAAGAGTTCCAAACAGCCTACGACCCCGAACCCAGGCTGCGGCGGTCGTCCAAGAGCATGACCTCCACCTTTGCGGAGCTACAGGCACCGTGGCGCTCATTGCCCCAGGCTTCTTGGCAAGCGACTGGCAGTAGCAATACTGTAGCAAGAGTCTTGATGGGGCGGCACTGGAAGCAATTGTCATAGACTTGCCTGCCGTGTGGATGCTGGCTCTGCTCCGTGAGCTGCAGCATCCTTTGTGCTGTGCAAGGGCAATGTTACTTCGTGTGCTTCTCTCCTGCTGATTGTGGCCTGTGTCCAGACAATTCCGTCATAAGGTCTTGCTGAGCTTGACAGCCATGCTGGCAGTAGCCGTGGTCGTTGTTTTAGTCTTAGTCGTAGTAGCAGTAGCATCGTCGTCGTCGTAGTCGTAGCCGTCATCGCCGTAGTAGCAGACGTAGTAATTAGTAGCAGCAGTAGCAGTAGCAGTAGGAGTCGTAGGAGTAGGAGTACTAATACGAGTACGAGTACGAGTTTCAGCAGCTGTAGCGGCGCAGTAGCAGTACCAGCCTCAGCAGCAGCAGCAGCAGCTGTGAGAATGATACTTGTCTTCATGTGTGGATGCGACACGAAACGTGACAACACTAGTAAGCACAGTAGCATAACTCAGATCAATATTGTCACAGTTACCACTGCAAGGCAGTCGTGGACATCGCATGTCGAACAGCTGGCATCAAGAACACTGCACAAGCAATAGCGCTGCTCTGAATTGAGTTACCACAACAACAACAATCATCCTCGCCCTTGTCGTCGTCATCATCAACGTCATCGTCATTGTCGTTATCAGACGTGTGTTTCAAGTCTTGGCCGACTGTGTTTTGCAACGCCCCCCAACACAATCTAAACATAAAAGCTGATCACCCCCCTCCAATGCACTCCAGTAGAATCTAAACCCTTAGACCTGAACCGCTTCTTTTTCTTGCTCTAGAGGTGGCAAGTCTGTGTGGGTGGCTACGGTCGGAGACTCGCGTGCTATGCTCATGGAAGGTGACAGCAACACTGTGTGCCTTAACTTCATATGAAGAGTTTAGGAGTTCAGGATTCAGCCGCATGCTCGAGCTTTATGGTCGGTAGGGTTAAGGATTTCAGTTTGAAGCGGGATTTCGATAAGTCACAATGGTCGACTGTGCTTCCCACGAGACACATTTTTCCCACAGCTAGACTAGCAACGTGGCAAACATATCAGTCACAGCGGTCAACAGCGAGACCAAAAAGCAGCGGGGGAACACGCACCGAGAGCATTGGCTTCTGTGTTGTTAGGCAGTTTCGTTCGGGCTTGGGATTTCGGCATGGTAGGGCCGAATGAAATCTTCGGGCCAGGCCTAGAGATGATGCCTGGTCAGGAAGACTTTCGAAGGATGTCGTGACATGTTTGCTGGGGTTCCCAGCCCCTCTCGGATGGTGTTACCGCAAAAACCGTCAGGATAGTGAGTAAGACTTACAAGTAGGAGTCTGGAAATAGGAGCAACCTCTGCAGCCTGACCTTTAGGGTTTCCGACCAGGTATCAGACATCTGATCACAAAGTGTCGCGAGACGATGAAGCTGCACGGATCAAGCAAGCCGGTGGAAAGGTCATCATTTCCGAATATGCAGAGGCTTGGCTGCAGGTATACAGTCTGGAGAAGATGTCTTGTTCTCTCGCTCTCTCTCTGTCTCTCTCTCTCTCTCTCTCTCTCGCTCTCGCCCTCGCCCTGGCCCTCGCTCTCGCTCTCGCTCGCTCGCTCTTTCTCTTTGTTTTCTGTGTGCAATTACTGTGGCAAGTAGAGAACGGAGCTTGCAAGCACTAGTTTGTGAGGCTTGGTTAGTGGATAGGTTGATCGATTGCTCTTTCTGGTTGCAGGTACGTAGGTGCATGTGCATAATCTGCATATGCATATGCCCACGCATGCATGTGTGTCGCGAGATACGCAGGTACGTAGGCACGCTGGCAGGTAGGTCTTCATAAAGGTACGTATCAATCTGTGTATGGTTAGGTCTCCAGAATGCATGTACATACGCTACATACGTATGTGTACGTGTGTATGTGGATGCATATTCATATGTATATGTTGTGTATATGTATACGTATGTGTATATTAGCAATTACGTGTTGTGTGTATGTCTATGTGCCTGTATGTGTTCAATATGCGCACTTGTATATACGTACATGTACATGTAGTGTACATGTGCATGCACATACACAGACACACATACATACAGATGCACATACATATACGTACACAAGTTCATGTGCATGTACAGGTACATGTATGAATACATAGATGCACGACACAACTCATACATACATACAGCTGTATATCTGCATATACACATACATCTGCTGACATCGACTTACATGCTTATCATATGCACGGTTGATATACTGTAATAATCTTAGTATACTAGCGCCCAAACCCTTTTCTAATTATTAAGGCGCCTATATTACTCGGTTTTTGCATAGAAGACAGTAGAGAGTCGACTCCGAGGATGGGACTCGAGACTACCGGGTTGCTCCGAAGGACCGACCTGACCATTCTGCCAGGATTCCCTTTCGGTTTAGGGTTTAGGGGAGAGCCGTGCTCACCACATCTACCATCTACTCTGGTGTATTGTGGGTCTCAGTTTCAGACAGGGAGCATCGTTGCTGGTCTTGTCATGCAGCTCTGGATGCTAAACTGCTGAAGAATGGCAAGGACCGTTTCCAACTGGTGGGATGGCCCAAGTCCAGCATGACCTCAGAATCCTACCAGAAACGAAGCAATCGGACTTCTTGCGCTTGACAAGTGCCCGCTCGCTCGAGGACTTGTCCTCACCTCAGATCGCCATCTCGCGATCGTTGGGAGACCTCATCTTCAAGGCCCTTTCAATGAGCACTGATGCCGAAGGTCTCAAGCCGCAATATACATATACATATATATATATATATACACATATATATATATATACATATATATATATATATATATATATATGCGCCCGCCTGAGAAGGCAGGTCGGCACGTGGAAAATATGAGCCCATGGCACGCTTTGCACAGGACTCTGGGGTCATTGCGGCCCCCGAGATCGTGGAGTGGCAAGTGAAGAAGCCGTCCGATGCATACGTGCTCGTATGCAGTGACGGCACCTTGGATGCAGCAAAGTCTCGTGCAGTGAGGGGCGGCTTGCTGTCAAAGGCACCCGCTAGAAACTGCCAATATGCGTGCCAAGCCGGAGAAGAGCAATGTAAGCAAGCTAAGCTCGCATGCCCGTATTTCAATATGACGGGACGTGAAGATCGCAGAGTGCAACAGTATAAATCAGGACAACGCCAAATAATTACCGCCGGCACAGCCCGAGCAAAGTCAGCTTTAGGCATGCTGGACCTGCAAGCGCGACAGCTTCACAGACGTCCGTCCTTCCACTGTGTCAGTGTCCGAAAATCCTCGCCTCTAAAGCTCTACAAGCCCGTATAAAAGTAAAGCCCTAAACCCTAAAGCCCTAAAGCCTAAACCCTAAGCCCTGCAAGCCCAAGGTGTCTGGGAGTTCCTGAATGCGATGGACCTCCGGGGCTTGACACTGGAGGCCATGGATCTGGGTTCAATGCGTTGGCAGAATTAGCCCTTTTGAAGGTAAGGGTTATTCGTTTCGAGTTTAGCGTCATTGGTTTGGTATTTGGGGTTGTTGGTTTCGGGTTTGGGGTAGGTGGTTTAGGGACGGCTACTTCTTTAGGATTTGCGAGTTTGGGCTTTGGAGCCTGCGTTTTTCGGGGCCCAGGGTTGCGCATTCACTTACGGGGCTGTTTTAAGGATTTTTTTGTAAACCCTAATCCTAAACCAGACCAGAGTCAAGTCAATTTTCAGCTGCCAGGTCGCTTCTGGATTTCTTCTGCATTCGCCTTTTGTTTGTTAAGAAACCCCACAGGTTTCCCTACAGAAAGGACTGTTGTCGCGTGTATAGACAAGCAGATTTTACAGGTTCAAGAGTAGTAACCCTAAACCCTATACCCAATAGTTTCAAAGCCCTAACCTCAAGACCCTAAATACTAGCCCACAGGTTTTGAAGCATAGGCTAGTCTTAGATGACCTTTGCGCAATTCCTTCCATGAGCACGTTCATTCTCGGGCTAGGCACGAGGAGGAAGCATCGCACTTATCCTTGTGTCTTGCCACAAGAGCCCTAACCTCTCAAAACCAAGAAAAGTCCAAGGATCCCTGCAGAAGTCGGCCCACATCACTCCCGTTGTTTCAGGAGCGTGTGTAAAGACCTGTGTCCCTTGATCTCACTTTTTCTCTCTTGCTTGTGTCTGCAGGCTTTGAGATCGGAAGGTGCCTCGGCGACCGAGGTGCGGAAGCCCAGAAACCGCCCGTGGGTTTGGGGGAGCTTGATGTTGGGGTTGGATGTCGGAAGTTGGAAGTTTGCGTCCTGACGACTCGGTGGTTTGAGGTTAATGGCATGGACGCTTCCACACCACCTCCTTCGACTATTCTACTTCTTTGCCCCCCTCCTCCCTGGAACAATCGAGGGGCTGTTGTCATAGAACACGCACATCAAGAAGGATAGCGTTTGAGGTGTGCGAAATATGCACCCATTGGAACACAAAGCTGCGCAGAAGCTATACTCGGGTTCCAACCCTTGTGCAGAAGTAAGACAGCGGATGGGAGCAGAAGGATTGGCCCTTTCCGGGGCTTCGGACAACCAGGACGGTTTAGACAGAATGATCGTTCATGACGTTTTCAATCATCTTGTCTTGGAGCGGTTTCTAGACTTCGCGGGACCTCAGCTCTATGCAAGAGCAGAAGACCACAGACTGTCTCAGGTGGTACGTGGGCTCCTGCAGCGTGCCAAGCAGACTTGGAACGACATGGAGGCAAGAGTTCTCTTTAGAGCTTGATCAATCTTCACTGCGCATGGGCCAGACAAGCAGCTGTAAAGCGGTCTGCATAAAACAATGTGCCCTGGAGAGGAGTACTACTGTGACGACATCACAGTGATGCTGGCCAGCATGAGCGGCGGGCTACCCGCATTGCTGAGGGCTCCCAAAGAAGGCTGCCCAGGCTGTAAGCAGGGGTCGTGTCCGACACAATGAGGACAAAGCCCTGCTGCAGACTTGGCGGGTACACATTCCCAGAATTCCTTTAAAGGTTCCGGTGTAAGCTCCGGTCATTCCAGTAGCGTCTCTGCCGTGGCATTTAGTCATGGGGCCGCGAGATACTGTCCAAGCTGTGCGCATGCAGAGCAATGCCTGGCATCAGCACAGAATCTTGTCTCGCCAAGGGCCAATTTAATTATCCGCTGCCTCAGATCGGATCAAGTCGTGGAGTGCCCCCTTGAACGTGCCATGTTGCAGGCTAGTCACTCTAAGAACCTCAGGCGTTGTTCAAGGGCAGCGCCCGCGCAACCTAAGGGTCCGAACTGGAGCTCGGCGGTTACTGCTCGGTATGGATGCTTGTAGAAGATCGCAAATCCGGTGTTGCAAACAATTGTTCCAAGGAGCCATACCTCAATCGTTCACGTTTTCTCGACGAATTCAATCATACCAGCCCTACTAGCTACTGCTACTGCTACTGCCACTGCTACTGCTACTGCTACTGCTGCTACTGCTGCTGCTACTACGACGACGACAGCGACTACACAACCACGAGGGAGAGGATGACGGCGGCGCCTGCTCCTACCTCCTACTCCTAGTCCTTAGCCTTAACCCTATTAATCTTACCATTATTACTATTGTATGAATATTTGTCGAATTTGATATTGTCATTGTCATTGTCCTATATTTTTACGTTTACTAGGATGCCCAGTAGTACCCTTATTCCCTTTTTGTAGTCCTAGGTTCCTTATAAAGTTACCCAATACCAAAAAGAGAGGCCTTTTTATTCTTAGGTTACTGGGTATCCTAGTTTAGGAGCCGCCAGAGAGCCCACAAGCTTGGATTTTCTCGACGGAGCCGAAGAGGCGCTGGAGCTCAAGCAGCAGCTTGAGATGGCGCGCCAGCAAGGCAAGCCGAGCTAGGCCTTAATAATACTAATAGTAACAACAACAGCAACAATAAGTAATACTACTACTACTACTACAAATAATAATGATAATAGTAATAAGAATAATAATTAAAATAACAATAATAATAGTAGTAATAATAGTAGTAATAATAATACTAATAATAATAACAAAATAATCATAATCATAATAATAATAAAAAAAATAGTAATACAAATACTACTACTAATAATAATATTAATAATAATAATAGTAATAGTAATAGTAATAATAATAATAATACTACTACTAATAATAATACCAATAATAATACTACTACTACTAATAATAATAATAATAATCATAATAATAATAATCATAATAATCATAATAATAGTAATAATAATAACAATAATAATAATAGTAATAATTATAATTACAAAAGCAACAACAACAATAGTAGTAAGAACAACAACAATATTAGTAGTAATAACAACAACAATAATAGTACTAGTAGTAATAATCAACAACAGTAAGAATGAGGCAGGGTGAGCTTTTGGGGATCTCACGCGAAGGAGGGCTCAAGAGGGCTTTTGCAGGGTTAGGGGCCTTAGAAATCAACATAATAATTTATGGTGATATTCATAATAATGTAAATAGCAATAATCAAGAGGGCTTTTGCAGGGTTATAGGTTATAATGGGAGGCTTAGGCAGACAATGACATTTTGCTCGTCGAGCAAGGAGAATGACACGACACACAGTGGCCACCACGATTTGAAGATGCACCACCGATAAGGCGAGGAATAGTATATTTATATCAATAACAGTATCATGCCATCAAGTAGACTCGAAAATGTTGCCACTCACGCCAGCGCTGACACTTACGGATACGTGCAACAGGCCTTCTTGTTGTCGCCGTTGAGCAGACTTCGTACAGTTATCAGGATCATATGGTGCGAAACAAGCCCCCAAAATCGTGCAACATGCGGATCGAAGGTGTAGGCTCTAGTCGCAGGCGTCGCGATGGTCAACACACCAAGACTTTCAGCCTAAACCTGAGACCACAACAAGTCCCAGATCCAAGTTCTGTGGCCCGTGGTGTTCAGGATTAGGCTTAGCCGCCAGCATGCTCAGATGAGGATGAGATAAGGAGTCTTCATTGCTCTTTTTGGCTCACGCACTCTTCGTGCTCTCCACCCAGAACTTGTTCAGGAACTACTAACGCCCAGGAACTAGGACCAGGACCTAGGAGTCGCGACACGACTCTGTGCATGGCCCTGCCTTTGTTTCAGGATGGCCGGCACTTAAAGCAGCCTGGATTCGCTGCATGCAGGTGGGGATGGGGGCTTTGAGAGCGCTCGGTTGCAATTTGTTGTTTAGAGGAGGCCAGCCGCAGTAGCCCTCATCCATGGCAAAGCCCGTTCCTCGGGTATGTAATTGCAGAAGCTAGAACTGGGTCGAGTTGCCGGCGGACCTCTCGCTCATGACGCCCCGAACCTGGCACTGTTGTCTTTGCGTCTCTAAGCCTTGTCTGGCCTCGTCGAAAGCCCAACAAGAGTCAAGAGAACGAGATTCGGCCCAAAATCAATGGCTCTTGGGTCATGCTTTAACAAAACACGCCTTCTGCAACACTGCTACGATGCGGTCTACTATTTCGGTTCCTTAAAGGGTTCTACAACAAGGTTACCACTAGGGTTCTATAGCAGGTTCGACAGTAAGGCGACGAAAAGGCTTCTACAAGGTTTCAGAACAGACCTCAGAAGTCTCACCCTAAACCTATACCCCTAAACCCTAAAGCCCTAAGTCCCAAAGTCCTAAACCCTAAAGCCCCAAACCCCCGAAGCCCTAAACCCCGAAGCCCGCGATTCTATGCAGACACCGCCTCAAAGCCGCCGCTTCGGACATCGCGCCGTCTCTTTACGCGAGGTAGCCTTGGCAGAATGGGACAGCTTCGGGAGAACACTTAAAGGATCATGGGACTTAGTAGCTAGGGTCATAACTTGGGTAACTATACTTATAACTACTTACAACCCCCATTAAGGTAATTAGCTATAACTTTACTTACTAAGTCCCATGATTTTCCAAGGGACCGTAACATGAAGCCAGTGCTTCCCGAAATACGATCTCAACTTTGTTTACATAAAAAGATCTCATGTGGTCAAGACGATGCTAAGTCCGCTTTCAGGGCCCGTTTGGGTTTGGCGCTTTCTGTTAAGTTTTTTGTTCTGCAGTATTGGACGGACATGAAATATGCTGGAACACAGGTTCAGGAAGATCAGTACGGTAGCACGAGAGCAGTATGTCCCGAAATTTGAATATCACAAGTTGGAGTACATTAGTAATTGTGGCCAACAACCGGGACTTAAAGCTTCTTGCTAAGACCGACCCAAGATACGTCATCTTCTGCTGCCCCAGCATTCTGTGTCCAACAATCCTTCACAACAGATCAGCTTCCTCATCGTTCCCCGCCCCAACAGCAGCCTCCTGCGCTGTGCTGTACTTGCACCCGCCCAGAACAGAAGTATCGACTAATCCAAGAATCGATGGGCCCAATTCGAAAGGATCGCCCGAATCCATTGTGCAGATGGTTACAGCTTTACGCATGTATATGTATGTGTGGGGCGTGTGGGCCGTTTGTTGCTTGCACGAACCTGCATGCATGCATGCATGTCTCCAGGTATGTGTCAGCATTCTAGCTCCAAGAAATTCTGCCCTGGCTGGATCAAGCTTGCTTGAGTTCTCACTCTTGGTCACAGGTGCAGTGCAGTGCAGAGAAAAGTAGAGGAGAAGGGTGGACAAGTAACAGGCAAGATGTCTCATCTGAACTCCGGTTTCTTCCTCTGGTTTGCTTTTTAGCGCAACTCCTCACTCTCACTGGAGATGCTGCATGTTACATCGCTCTCCGGGGAGAAGTACGCCGTGCCAGCGAAGGACTACAGCGATGGGAGGGCGCTGAAGACGTACTTCAGTCGTACCCACGGCTTTCCGCCTCGCTTCCAGCAGCGGATGCTTCTCGAAGGCAATGAACTGGAGGACAGCACCTTTGTCATAGTTGGGTAACATTTTACATTTTTATGGGTACTTAAGCCCCAAAAAGGAATAACAGTTTGGATTTTTAATCATCCTATCCCAACCAACCATGAACCAGGCACCGGGCTGGAGGCGTCCATGGAGCTGAACCTGCTTCTGCTTCCTTTGAGCTGCACGGAAACAGAGAAGCTTTTCGCTGCCATCGATGAGGGATCTGCAGCCCAAGTGGAAACCCTCTTGCAGATCCCCCAGGACCCAAATCAAGCTGACGCAGATTCCAGGCTGCCTCTGCAAATCGCAGCCGCTGACGGGAATGTTGACATCGTGCGCTTGCTGTTGGAGGCTCATGCCCACACTAACTCCGCCGACAGAGTAGGCAGCACAGCTCTCATGCGGGCCTGCGCACGGGACGATGCAGAAGTGGGACGTCTGTTGCTGGAGGCAGGTGCTGACACAGACTTAGTGGACATTGACGGTTACACCGCCTTGATGCGTGTATCCGGCAAAGGCCATGCCACCGTTGTGCAGTTGCTCTTACAGGCCGGTGCTAGCACAAGCGTTGTCAGCCAAAATGGCCACTCAGCTCTGATGTTCGCAGCGACACGCGGCAAGGAAGAAGTGACACGTTTGCTTTTAGAAGCTGGTGCCGACCCCAACTTTATCACAGAGAAGGGTCTCCGCGGCTACACACCTCTCATGAACGCATCCAGTGCAGGCCACGCTCCAGTGGTGCAGTTGCTCCTTGCCGCCCGAGCTGACCCGAATGTTGTCGGTCACGTTGGCCTCAGAGCTCTGTCGGGAGCGGCTAGCCAGGGCCGGGTTGAGGTGGGAGTCTACCCTTTTTTCGGAGTCCTTATAACAAGAAGCCTAGTCTTTAGAGTTCTATACTGGGGTCCCCTACTTTCGGAAACGGCCAGGTGGTTCGCCTGCTGCTGGAGGCCAGGGCTGACCCTAACTTCTCGGACGAGTCTGGCAGCACAGTCCTTGACGATGCAGCAGACCATAAGGAAGTTCTGGCCTTGCTTGAGCCCCACGTGGAAAAGCCTCCAGCCAACACGGGAGAGCGCTCAGCCACCGGCAGC